CAGTCATAGGTCCTTGTTATGTTGTCTTCACCTTGTTATAGCTCCGTGACCTCTTGCTGCGGTGTGGAAATAAACAACAGAGAAGACTTGACCAAGACACTTACTGTTAGTTAATCATTTCTTTGTATCTTCACAAATACAGACATCACTGGGAAGATAAAATCAAGGAAGTTGTCTTGTTATGACTCTTCTAAACGCACCTAAATCATGCTGGAGAGGAATTGTTTCTAATTTAAGAAACTTAACAAAAAGAAAAGTAAGGTTTTTCAGTTTGATAATCCTATCCTCCATTTACACACACACTCACACAGAAGCAGAGAAAGAATTAAAAATCCAGCCATTTCACCAAAATAAAAGCTCAAACACCATGACAATTGCACTGAAAAAAGTGGAAAATATGAAAGAAAAAGAAAAAAAAACAGCTTTTCACAAGAAAACCATGATTTCCAGTTCATTGTGTTGATGACTAGGGGTGTGTGAGGTCAGCACCACCCCACTATATAGATCATAATAACAGGGGTTGTATTGTATGCTGTATTGTTTACCCACTTATAGTAATCTATGTACACAGTCCTTCAGTCAATAGGATTGCCCTATAACCTGAGAGAGGTGCGGGGGTGGTATTTACTTAGGGGGAGAGGGACTTACATCTCTTTGTTTCTTCTCATCTGTACCAGCGCTGTGGCTGAACTGGCTTTGAAGTTAAAAGTGTTGGTCTAAAGCGGGGCTTCAATCCATGTTTTCACTGGCCAGCTCACTGTGAGGAAGGGAATATATATACACAATACAATCTGCCTCAGACTTTTACATAGTAGGTTAAACTGGCCAGCAGGCAATGTTTTTGATCCACTTATTCCCATTAAAACAACGTTAAAAAACTGACCTGTGAGATTTCTCATTATCTTATGTATAAAAGAGACATTATGTGCTGGACCAGGGAAGGGGGTTTAATTGCCTCTTCTTTACAAAGTTATGATTTTATGTATGATCTAAAATTACTTTAGAAATGAGTAGAACTGTCTTGTTGTTGACGGTATTCTGAAATAATAGCATTAGAGTTTTGTTTAGAAACAGGGAGGTGGATGAAAGTAACTGTCTGGGATCCACCCCACATCATAGTATTTGTAGAAGGAGGGGTTGACGTTTTCAAAAGTAAAAATAAAATTTCTAGGTAAACTTGAAGCTTTCATCACACCAGGGTAGGGTGAGTTTTGCTGTCATGAAGATGGCAGGCGTGGTGACGTGTAACCACAGCAATATGTGGTTCACAGGAACCAACTCTCACCACAAACCAACACAACCACTGCTGCACACACACTGGTGGGAAAAATAAGGTGAAAATAAAAAATCTGGTTTCACCATCAGCCCAGAGAACACATGGCTATAAAGGAGATTAAGTTGTAATAATGTGAAGCATTTCAGGCCAAAGCAGAGGAATGATGCAGTGTTAATGTGGGGAGAGAAATCTGTAAACCTTTCATGACCCTGACATTATTGGAGATTAATGGACATGGATTTGTATCTGAAGTTTCTTTGGGCTCATTCCCAGTACGGCTACTATTCTTCGTAGATCGATCTAACTCTGCATGAACTCTCAATGAGTACAATTAACTTGCCTCCTCTTGGTTCCACTGTACTCCATGTTAGTCTGTTAATCTGACTGCATTAAGCAAGAGTTGGATCAATCTACAATATAAAGTCGAATGATAGTTACATTGGGAATGCACCCTTAAACAGTTAAAGAACATGGCCCATCTCCTCTCTATAGCCTCGGTATGGTGATGTTGATACACATACTAAAACAGTTGAATTGAGGACATTGACATTGTAGTAAACAGCCCTGACCCTGGGGGGGGGGGGGTCAACAAGGCATGGTTAATGGCTTTCTTTGGTATAAATTGATGTTGTTTTTCTAATGGTTTTATGAGCAGGAGTGAACACAGCAGTGCTTGCCCCAAAGCTAAAGAAAATTGTTTGTGAGATGTAAGATGGACTTTTAAAAAGAAACAGGCCAGTGTACTTGTATTTTGAACTGGTTAAAATTTAGATAAGGGGTAAATGAGTGGAATATATCATTTTGATTGGGCTGTTTGCTGTTCTAGATGAGTTCATTCTGTACCATTAAGAATGATAGAATGCATTGCAGTTTGGGACAGAAAGAGAGAGAGTACAATTCATTAAACCTTTCATGTCAGAGAGGTATTCCTCAGACATCTTTCCTGTACTTCACAACTCTGCTATCACCTATTTCTCAGTCACGTATGCACTTTATGACTTCACAAGTGTTAAAACAGTGGCGCACTGTTATGAAATCATTACCCTAATGGTGTCAGTGAAGCTATAGTACAGACAGAAAATAATTAGGTGGCCCTGACAAGGTCAGTCTCAGGTGAATATACCTGTATTCCCAGCACATCAGGTCCAGGATAGTAGTACTACCTCAGTGAGCACTATAGTTAGACCAAAAGTCAGGTTGGATCCATTCCAAGGTACCAGTCTCCTTAGAGAGTATCAGGGCTATAAATATACTCAATGTTTTTGAAACTCTAGTGCTATATATAAACAAAGGTTCAATATCCCTAGATGAAACCCTGGCAGCACTGGTATAATGTACATTAGGAATCATTATGGTAATGTATCATTTGATTTGAACAAGTGTCCCCTAGTGTGCGCCCTCTGGTGGTCAGTTACAGCAAGTTCTGGACCTGTTCTTCCTTCCCTCAATAAGAAACTCTCCCATATCTTATATTTCAACCCCCTCCCTCCTCGTCCTTCTCGCTTCTCTACCAGTGTTGAACAGTGGGAATTGTTGCAGGCTCTGGTGACCCCCCTCCTCCCCCCCCTCCCTGCTCAGGCTCTGGCTGCACTAAGTGACCTCACCTGGGGACAGTAGAGAAAGGAGAAGAGGGGTCCAGTTACAGTGTCTCTGGTAAACACTGGTCATATTATACTGATACCAAGGGAAAGGGTTTTGGTTGAGATTTCAAAAACTTACAGAAACAATAAAAGATTGGTTGGGTGAAGAAGACATTGTGTACCACCCATCTGATTTGTTTAAGGTCTATGAGGTGCATTTACAACCTTTCCAATTTCCAGAAGACCAGGTACCTTTACAAAAAACATCAAGACTAAGTTAGCACTGATATGAACAGGTCTGCATCACTTTTCATCACCCCAACTGCTGTGATTGAAGTACATCGAACTTGAGGTTAACTTGAATAAAACACCTTATTGAAGCCTTTGTTAAACTTCACTTATAGGGAAGACATTGATCCCAATCAAAGGCACAGAGGAAGGGTTTGATTAAGGTGTAGTTTCAAATAAAAGTTTACAGAACTGACTGCTGGGGTCCAGATCCTAAACAAATCAAATCTGGGGAAACTTGATCTTATATTGTGAAGGTTATATTACAATTAGGCTGTAAGTAAAGGTGAATTCTAGACATGAGAGGGACTGGTAGGACCCAGATCACCTCTTTAATGAGGGTAAAAGTCTAAGGTTGGTGTTAGGGGCCAAACTCATTGTTTAATAACATCCGCACCATTATGGCCTTCTTTTTGTTGTCCTGAGAAATGTTTCAATTCTGCAGGAATTATCAGTGGAGGTATGTTTTGTTGTTAAGAGATGAAGTTTAGTGAAAAATAATAGAATTAAAAGGAAAAATGTACATGTCATTGAACTCTTACACACTTGAAGATTAGAGAATTACATAGTTTGCTCAGTGACAGACTTGTTGATGCTATAGTTATTGATTAAATAAAAAAGTTGCAAATAAATATTTTGTAATTATTGGTGTTGGACTGCATTGCATCCCAGGCCAAATGAGGATTTAAGAAACTTTTGCTATTTGTTAGAAAAACATCACTTGGTTCTTCATAGTGTCTTACTCAGGACTTGACTGAAGCTTTTAGACAAAATAGAAATTAGTGTCTGAAGTACGTTTGTGTGCATGTTGTGTGTGTGTGTGTGTGCATGTTGTGTGCGCGTGTGTGTGCATGTTGTGTGTGCGTGCTGTGTGTAGGTAAGTGTGTTTGCATGCATACTGATACCTTTTTTGCCAATGGATTACATTTCAGGAACATTATAAAACTGCGAAGATTCTCGTTTCAAAAAGATATAAAATGTTTGCTAGGACGTTGATCTCTGGTTTATATTTCCGCAGCAGCAGGTGACAGACAACAATCCCAAGCTGAAGACCCATGGGGGCTATCTAAAGACACAAAATTCAACATAAAATTTATTTGAATTGAAAAAGCAATGTGTATTAATCCGTATCTCTATCACTATTTTAGCCACATCGACAAAACCACCACATGGCACGACCCACGGAAGTCAGTGAGCAGTATGAACCTGAGCCACCACTCGACCCCGCCCCCCTCTCACCAGTCCCCCAATGTATCTATGCAGAACCTGGGGCCTCTTCCCCCAGGGTGGGAACAGGCCGCGACGCCAGAGGGAGAAATCTACTTTATTAATCACAATGATCGCAATACAAGCTGGTTTGACCCCAGGATACGTAAGTACATCATGGTTTTATCTTTAAAGGGATAATAACTCTTCGTTTTGGCCAAAAAATGAATTTTCCTGGAGTAAACAACAATTTTCCCATGCTTACCAATGGTTAATGAATCCATTTTTATATTCAAAGTTAGTCCCTGATTTTTTTCTAAGAAGTTTGGTTTTTTGTTAAAATCTCTTAAGAAATTATAACAGAGTATAGCCATCAATGGAGGTCACGTGATCTGAAGACAAGCTCGGATATCAGATAACTGCTGTTTTCGTCGTAAAACAGGATATATTATATTTCTATGAGTTATTCACAATGTTTTTATTGTGAAATATAGATTTCATACGAAGAGTTATTATCCCTTTAAGTTGGTCTGTTAACATAGCTCTGTGTACTTGTCTGTCTTTTCATCTGTCTTGAACACTGTATACTGCAATTTAAGGTGAACTTCATACGCTTTGGGTTACTAATTACCCTTCATCTGTAGAACCTGTTACCTTATCTTCTTTTTCTTTTGTCATAAATGAAGGGCAGTTTTAAAAGAAATCCGGTATAAGAGAAACTGCTAACTCCTTTCGACTGTGAGTGAGCATCTGGTCTTTGTTTTGGCAGTTGTACTCATTGACTGCCTGAAGAACTCATTCATATTCCACACTGATTACAATAACCTGTAAAAACAGTCTTGGTAATGAAGTGCATCTACTCAAATACATGGCCATGTTCAGTTGAACTTGTCTGCTGCCAGAGGGCAGTGATATCACAGGAGGAGACCAGTGTCAATCCCATGGGGAAAGGGTTGATGTGGTTGGGGACTTCTGCTTGCTTCAGGGTCTCAAAGAGACTGGTACTTTGATAACCTAGTCCAAGTTATTGTATGGATATTGATTTGATGGGAATGGAAACTTTAGTCTTTTGTCTTCAGTTTTGAATAAATTTTTTCTTGGGTCTACCTTCATTTCTTTCACTCCTCCCTTTTTTCACTTTCTCTGAAGTGCAGTATGGAAACTTAATGTTAGGCCATTCGTCTTTAATTTAAAATAGAATTATTCATGGGTCGACCTTCTCTCTCTCTCTCTCTCTCTCTCTCTCTCTCTCTCTCTCTCTCTCTCCAGCTGAGCTCATGAAGTCAATAATGAGAGGTTTCTCAGCTGTGTCAGTGTACAGTGACACCTGGGGTAACCACCTGGCCTCCTGCTACCTCTCTCTTCATCTGGGGTCACACAGGGATAGAACCAAACTGCTTCAGGTCAAACTGTGGCACATTGTTTGATAATCTTACTTTGCATGGTGTGTTGCATTACATCAGCCCTCCTCCATTTTGCTTATAGTGAATTAATTGAATTACTCAGTGCTGACAGGTTTGTATCTACAGGCTTGAATGTACACTGCTTTAAAACTGGTGGTGTTTTAGACCTACATCGGTCTAGGTCTGTATCTGTGTGTGAACACGGCTGCAGTATTACCCAGCTGGTAGGGAGCATCTTGTAACCAAGGGATGACCTTTGAAAACTGTCAAATTTTGAGACATTTTTCAAATCAGTCAGCTGGCTATGTGTTTGGTGTAATAAATGCTGTAGCAGATAAACTATCACAATTTCTTTGATTTTTTTAAGTATTTTGAAGATGACCTTTTTAAATATCATGGGATAATATATTTGGTAAAGGCACAGAACTGCTCCTATTTTAATTGAAATTTTATACGTGTGATCATTGAACTTGATAGGGCTGTATGTATAATTCATAAGCCTTTGGCAAGTAATACTGACTGAAAAAAAAGACTTGTGCACCTGTGTAATTGGCTGAGTGACGTCAGGTTTCAGCTTTACCTCACTTCAGAAGCCTGCTGGTCCTCTATTAGTTCTGAATGGCCATAGATACTGTATCATATCTTGTAAGCGTAATAAATGAAGCCTTCCAAACCATTGAGTGTGCCATTCCCTTAATCTAAGATTGATAGGAATCTGACTGACGGTTTATGTACATGTATAGTTATATTTATACTACTCTCTCTCTCTCTCTCTCTCCCTCCCTCCTTCAGTTGTGTTTTTACACAGACAGTCACTACCATTGAACTCTTCCATATTATGTGAAACATTACAGATCTGCACTTCCTTTCCAATAATTCTGCAGCCTGAAAAAAGTCGCAAAATATTCGACACATATTTTAATTCCTTGTCCAAAATAGTTAGGGCTATGAGTATAAATAAGTCAAATTATAAGTTCCCTTCTATTCCCAACCTTTGTTCTGTTTTATATCCTATCTACATGTCATATGCTAAGTGTGTTCTCTGTCTTCTGTTTTATATCCTACTTACATGTCATATACTAAGTGGGTTCTCTGTCTTCTGTTTTATATCCTATCTACATGTCATATACTAAGTGGGTTCTCTGTCTTCTGTTTTATATACTATCTACATGTCATATGCTAAGTGTGTTCTCTGTCTGTTCCAGCCATGCATCTGCAGCAGCCAGCAATGAACCTGCAGCAGAAACATCAGAGATCACTTCCTCCACAGATGCATCAATTACAGCAACAGCATCAACAACAGCAGCAGCAACAACAACAGGCAGCGCAGCAACAGCAACCTCGGCAGTTACCTTCCCCACAAATGACAGGGCCTAATGGCCGACAGAGAACGCTACAGGAGCTCCAGCGAGAAGAGGCGCTGTTAAAAAGACGACAAGAAGAGATTACAAAACAAGTGAGTATTTAAGCTGGTTTGTGCTTTGTGTGACAGTGTGTGAGATGTGGCATTGTGTTAGTTGTGATGGTGTGTTGGGTGTGACAGTGTGTTAGTTGTGACAGTGTGTTGGGTGTGACAGTGTGTTAGTTGTGACAGTGTGTTGGGTGTGACAGTGTGTTGGGTGGGACAGTGTGTTGGGTGGGACAGTGTGCCTGATGGTCATTTTCAATAATATAAAACACCAGAGAGGATTTACCTTCCAAGGACACTTATCTGGGCTGTTACTGTACACAATTTGTAGTCAATAATGTTTATGTAATTTTATTCCTGTGCATTATGAGCAGAAAATGTTTTGTGTGATTTGTTTAAAGCAGAAAGCCAATTTAGGGACTTAGCTATTCAAAAGAATAAGAAAAAACTTCTCTCAAGCACACTTTCTCAGGCCTATTTCCATACTTGCTTCCCAGTTGTCAGTCAGTAAACATTTAGGTCATTTCTGGATGGAAGAATGTGTAATGGCCCCTGCTTAAAAAAAAAGCAATGTAAGGCTAAACTTGTGAAATAGTTGGCATAATTTTGGAACATTAACGCTGCTAGCAGTATGCGGAACTATTTACAAACAGATTCTGTGTACTCTTACTTCCTGAGATTGTATCTTAATGATTGGGGGTGGAGCGTGATTTTATGAAGAAAAAGTTAGAAATGTCATAGATGGTTTCTTTTGTGTGATTTTGGGTCGTGATATTTTAGAAAGGGAAAAGTTTCATTAGGTTAAAGGGATAATAACTCTTCCTATGATATCTATATTTCACAATAAAAACCTTGTGAATAACTCATAGAAATATAATATATTCTGTTTTACCACAAAAACAGCAGTTATAGCTTTTATTCTGATATCTGAACTTGTCTTTAGACCACGTGGCCTCCACTGATGTCTATACTCTGTTAAAATCTCTTAAGAGATTTTAACAAAATACCAAACTTTTTAGAAAAAAACCAGGGACTAACTTTGTATGTAAAAATGGATTCATTAACCATTGGTAAGTATGGGAAAATTGTTGTTTACTCCAGGAAAATTCATTTTTTGGCCGAAACGAAGAGTTATTATTGCTTTAAGGAAGTTCTGTCTTTTTTATTGGGAGAACAAAAAAAACTGTATTTCAAAGTAAAAGATGTGTAAGAATTTGTACAATAAATTGGCTTCGATAATATTCTATCTAAATACAGTGGAGGTTTCTGTGATTGCTTAGAATACCTTGACAGAGAAAAAGCAGATTACTAGGATGGTCTGCTTGTTCGTGAGAAGGTTATTCTAGATTTTAGAGGAACTTCACCAGGGCAAGTTATAAATTTACAAATTTGCAAGTGGAGACTTCCCTGCTGCTGTGATCTCTGATCAGAGCCAGGAGGGTTTGGACCAGGGCCAAGTAGGGGCTGTCTGGACTGAAAAGGAGAAATTTTACACAGTTAACTGGTAAACACTATGTCCAGATTGTTGGATGACTATCAAATAACAGAGAGAGAGAGAGAGAGAGAGAGAGAGGGGGGGGGTAGAGAGTTTTATTTTGTCAACAATCCTGCACAGTCTTGTATATGAAGGAGATAAAGAAAAGGACATTTCAACAAGAAAGAATAAGAAGTGTGTGATCAGGTTCCCAACTTTGGGTGTGGCTAAGAAAGGATTTGAATGTGCATGCTAAAAGGGGGCCATAAAATAACTTGATGACTACATTGAAGTCTCTCCCTAATAATTTCCCCTTGTTGGTAACTGTAGCGACTGCGTGGGCAGCAGGGCGGGTGTAATGTCGCCTAATTTACTGACTTCTACAGCCCAGCTGTTAAAAAACCATTTAATTTGAAAGAGAACACCGCGGAGTGTTTATGTAAAGCTGTTTACAGATTCTGTTATTTCCTCTACCAGTATTGGTGAATAGTTTAAATGATAAACCACTCCAGGGTAACAGACGAGTTCACCCTCTCTTCAACTCATTGTAGTTTATATAATCTGCCCTTGATACCTAAACATTTTGGATGATTTGATGTCAGGTAAGCTCTGGATTAAAGTGAATAATCTGCCTCCATTACAAATTTTTTCCTCAAAACCGATACACAACTTCTCAGTCTTAACAAAATATTCCTTCCTAGCTTAAGATCACTTATATGAAATAATAAAAAGAAACTTTGTGGTTTAGTCAACCCCCACACTGGGGACAGCCCTTCTTTATGAGGAGATACAGTTTGGAGAACTTGATCTGAGAGTGGGCAGAGATGTGGTGTAGTGATGGAGAAGGCAGGTGCTTGGATCAGTTTAAGAGATTGTAATTTGAAGTTTAAGAAGTCATAAGGCAGTTAGTCATAGGCACCCAAGTGATTGCTTCAGAAGTCTGAAATGGTCTGGAACTGTCTTGGTGAGACCAACAAAGACAGCTGTAATGTACACCAATACAATATTCATCTACATATTAATTGTTCACTAAAATAAACTGTTGAAGATGAAGCTGTTATTGAGCAGGGTTTACTCTACACATCATAAGATTTAAGTCCCTCACTGTAGATAACAGAAGATTGTATTGTACCCAACATCAAAATGCTCTCAACAAATTTTGTAGTAATCTGCCCACTCACCTATCACCAAGAGGTGTACTGGCTGCTCTACTTTATCAGGGCACCTGTTTCATCTTCAAGGCTGCCCTATGGAGGCATAGTTTCTACCAAAGTTTGAATTATCATGATTTAGCCCCATCCTCCTCCACCCCCCTTCTGTTCCAAATCACAACACTCCTGTCTACCCCCCTCCCCCAATTACCCTGTGCTGCAAAAGATATAGAACACATCACTGTCAGCCATTCTGGTATAGTATCAGTTGCCATGGTGAAATGGCTGGTGTATATTGACCATGCACATTCTCTTGGTGTCATATTGTCCTTCAGGGCCCTGGTGCTGCATAGCCAAAGCCTTGCACTCTCCAGGTCTCATATTACAAACCCTAGCAACAGGGACTGTGATCTTCAGTTTAATTGGATTTCTAGATTAGGTTACTGGGTGAAAAGAAAAGACCATTCTTGACCAGTGCAGGGGTCAAGAGCTGGGCAGTGACTGGAGAAACAATGGGGCAGGGAGGAAGGGGAGGATGGAGAGAAGAGAGAGAGAGAGATGAAAAGAGATGAATGGAAAGAGTGAGAGAAAAAGAGTATGTGTGCGAAAGAGGGGTTATCTGGTTTAAACAATAAATTGGCTTTTCAAGACAATAGGAATAACCCTTTGGCATTGTAGGCAAACCATGCCCAATGGTATGGTGAGGGAGAGAAAGATTTCAGAGGAAATGAAACCAAGTGTATTGTATAGAATTTGTGTTTGACAGGGAAAATTGGAAGAGGTAAAAAAGGAGTATGGCTTGGCTTGGTATCAAGATGCCACCTGTGTTGTGTGCAGTGTAGTGAGTGAAGTGGATGTCAGACTTTCCCAATATAGAACATACAGATGGAGCATAAGACTATACAGCTTGTAAACATTCTCTCTCTCTCTCTCTCTCTCTCTCACACACATACACACACACACACACACACACACACACACACACACACACACACTGTTAGTCGTAATAATGTGGTAGCTGTTAATGTGGCTGTGCCTTCTTCAGACCCACATAGTTAAAATTTTTTTACTTTCTATGCAAAATTGAAGCTATACCTCACAAAGCCTTGGGTATGGCTTCAGTTTTGTGTAGGAAGCAGGGATAAGGTTTTTTCCGACTATCAGTAGATTTTCAACTTTTTGCGAGCCAAAAACATGACTAGCGCCATATTTTCCAATGAAAGGCAGCCTCATCCTCAACAAAGTGAAAAGTTGAAAATTTCTGATCATGTTGTCCTTGTGTTCTGGTCCTTACCCATACCGTCTCTCCCTCTAATTGGTACACTGGTTCTTATCCATACCGTCTCCCCCTCTTATTGGTACAGGTGCAAGAGATGATGCTGCGGCAACACGGGATGAAGAGCGAGCTGGCAGTTAGTAATACGGGGGTCGACCCGTTCCTGAATCAGGGCTCCTCAGATTACCACGCCAGACAGGAGAGCGGAGACAGCGGTTTAGGTAGGTGAAAAATACAGCCTTGGGTGTAATTACAATGAAACTGTCATACTGGGAAGTGAGAACTCACTCTGTGGAGACTCTTGCTGAATGCAATCTGATTAACAGATTTATATGCCAACATTCTTATACAATCATCAGCTTTTCGGTATTCTGGTCAACAGCATGGGAATAGTTTCAATGTGAACACCCTATAACTAAGAAATATGCTGCTTCAAATTAGTGAGTATTTGCTGAAAGTAAGAACATTAAAATTACTACAAAGGTATACATATTGTCAGAAATAGTAGTAGGCAATGCAAAAAGACCAGTGGCAGACCAATGCTTTAGGCTGTTTGCTGCCATCAAGAGATGGTTAAAGCTGAGGTAGTGCTAACGCTCGCCAATTCAGCCAAATGCTAAAACTGATGTAAATTGGCCAAACAGAAAGGGTTTGATTTGACTTGTTTTAGTCAAATTCTAACCATTTGGATAACTAATTGACAAAAAAAAGTGGTGATTTGGCTAAGCGAAAAATTTTCTAGTGCTACCCTAGTAAAAGTATGTAGTTCTTGTAAAGAATGTAAGATGTGGTTGAGAGAAGAAAGAGGTGTCCATCCTTTTTCTCAGTTACCTTATCAGGTAAAAGGTCCTCAAAGGTGACGTGAAATTGAGGCTGTGCCTTGCGCCTCCTGTGGTTGTAAACTTTGCAGGTACTCAGTGTTTTATTTGGACTTTGGATTCCTGTAATCTGTTCTCAATGGTTATTGACCATAAGGCAGTAAAAAGTCTTATTCTGTTAAGGCAAAGATGGGAAATGTGGCTGAAATGTTCTGTTTGACCTTCTGAAATGTCATCTTTGATTTGAAATTACGTGTTTGTGTATTTGAGAATGGGGTGATTTCTGACTGGAGTAAATTTGGCATTAAGACTTCCTTGGTCTTGGTATGGTTTGCTGCAGTTAACTGCTTTTGACATTTTCAAACATGTTGCCAAAAATTGAAACATGTGGCAGATGGCCTTATTTGAATGTGTTTGATTACAGAGTAAGGCCCCATGTCTAGTATTGGGATGATAAGATTTGACTACAAAGCTATGGAGACAGGACACATTATTTTCTGCCTGTGTTTACTATTACCCAATAACAGTTTTAACATATTGATATGTTAAATATAATATATTTATTTAAATCTAAAAGCCTGAATATCGACCTGCCCTCTAGTGACATACTAGAATCTAGGCATATTGCTAATTAACAAACTTTTGAAGATATCTCACAAGATCTAGTCTAGAAACTTGTTTGCTGATCATGGTCTTCAGTAACCACTGAATTCTCCATAAAGACTTGGGTTGTTTATCATAACCTCTACAAACATGAGCCTACCCATACAGCTTTCCCTTTGATTCCTCTCGTATGTGACCAAGCATATATTGACCACAGAACTACTACACACCAAGATCTCAGTGGCAGTGGGGGTGGATGTTGTGATTCCATTGTGATTTCGTAACACATCAATTCTGTACCAGTCTCTGTGCTGCCCTTTAATCTACATTTGCATTTACATGAAGTTTGAACTCCATGGGGGGTGGGGGGTGTTCCAATTTCTACTTCATCATAATGCTGAGAAAATCAAGATAAACAGGTCAAGCTTTGAGGAAAAAAAACTGTTACACTAGATCTGTTGACTATGTCAGCTTCAGAAGCCATTATTAGAGCCATTTCTGCAAGATTTGAATTTCACAGCTAACAAGTACGAAGTGTTATTCCTCAGTTCTGGAGATATAAGCCACCACTACTCACAGCAGACAAGTTCTTGGAAAATGGAGAGAAAAGGGTTTCTCTGAGGCCGTGCCTGGATAATTTCTGCCTAAAATGTATAAACAGTATCATCAGTCACTCTTGAATAAAGCATGAGGTAGATTTATGGGAGCTCATCATACACACATTAAGTACATTTATTTAACCCTTATTCGTTGGGCTTTTCTAAGGACAAATAAATGAATTCTCTCTCTCTTTCTCTCTCTCTCTCTTTCTGTGTGTGTAGTAGGTGAAATCACTAATGGCTGCACCTTGATGAAATTCTTCAGAAGTGAAATATCACACGTATCTGTCAATTGCTCAGGATATTGCAGCTCCGGAATAAACCATGCAGAGTTGTTAGAATGATATCCAGCTAGTTACAATCCTTGCAATGGCTCAGTTCAGTTTCTGCTGAAAATTACGTGACTACACAACAAAGTTACATGAGCACTGCATGTCTGTGCATATTGCCATCACCCTTTTCCGTTGCTCTCATGCAAATTTCACTATATCCGCAATAAATGGATAATCAGGTTACTTATATTCCTTAAAACTCTCTGGATTAATTTAAGGAGGAAAACCAGCCTGATTGGATTCTATTTCTTAAACTTTGTGAATTTTAAATTTTTCACCATTGACATTTAAATGTGTGATTTTTAACTCTCATTTATCTGAAGTCCTAAGCTAGTTAGATGTCTGAATGTCCACATTAACAGCATTACTTAAAAATTGGTGGTGATTATGCCGTAATCAGTTATATGATATTGCATCAAAATTGACAAAAAAATTTTTAGTGCAGTCATCATTATTCTTTTTTTTTTTTTTTTTTTTTTTTTTGTCTGTACATTTACCAGCTTTTTCATCTCTTTGAATAAAAAAAAAAAAATTAAAAAAGAAACTTTTTCACTAATGGCAACAGTTGTAAGATAAGCGTAAATTCATGGTATTGAACCAGGTCAATGGAAGTGAATGTGCTTCGTCCTGTGGTGAACTAAGGCATAGCCAGCATACTCAATGAGAGGAAATTGAATGTAATTTATATGAGAAAAGTGTGGAGGAAATGTCTGATTGAAATGGTAATGTCTTTGAAGTTTTGCCAGAGTGAGTTCTTTAATGCTTATAATAGCTTTACTCTGTGTTCTCAGCTGTTAATGGAATAATGTATTTTGTAAGTGCACAAACTCTCGTGTGTGCATGTGTACGTGCGTCAGTACGCGTAAGCAAGTGCTTTCGCACTTTTGCCTACACACGTGTAAATCTGCGTCCCAATTCAGCCAAAGAAGCTTTTAAGGAGTAAGTCTGAATCTTATCTGATGGAACTGTTGTGTTATATCTATATTGATGGCATTATCTGATGGGACTGTTGTGTTATATCTATATTGAAGGCATTATCTGATGGGACTGTTGTGTTATATCTATATTGAAGGCATTATCTGATGGAACTGTTGTGTTATATCTATATTGAAGACTGCTGTTGTGTTATATCTATATTAAAGGCTACTGTTGTGTTATATCTATATTAAAGGTATTATGTAACCATTGCAGGTGGGATGGGGACAAACTATAGCTTACCAAGAACTCCAGAAGATCTCCTGGGTAACATGGACGATATGGACACGTCAGAAGGAGGTGAGTGAGACGGCCTCTGGTCTGATACATCACACCTAGCACACTGTCACATCTAACACACTGTCACACCTAACACATTGTAACACCGAACACACTGTCATATCTAACACATTGTAACATCTAACACTGTCACACCTAGCACACTGTCACATCTAACACACTGTCACACCTAGCACACTGTCACATCTAACACACTGTCACACCTAACACATTGACAAGTCTGATACACTGTCACACCTAACACACTGTCACACCTGACACACTGCTGATTTGGCCACATCTCACGTTGAGCAAGTTAACATTTCATAGTTCTAAGGAACTGCAAAAAATGGGTACGTTACTGCCACAGTGGTCATGTGACCAACCAAGAAAGTGCCACAGTCAAGATGGCAGTGCCACAGTTTATAGAAATGTAATTTCAGGGTGGTTGTTGTTAATCAGAAGAGGAATTTGGAGAGAAATGGAGAGTGTGTGTGTGTTCGTTTGTGAGTGAGAGAGAGAAAGAGAGAGAGAGATGGAGAGCATGTGATTGTGTTTGTGTGTGAGAGAGAAAGGGAGAGACAGAGAGAGAAAGAAGAGAGTGTGTGTGTGTTTAATTCTCTTCTGTTATGATAACCCCTAGTTGGTTACCATGGTGAAACATAATACATCTGACCTTCACCTTGACCCGCGGTGGTCAGCGCTTCTCCTACACTGACCAAACTGCCCGTCTGGGTGGTCAGCCTGGACACTACTGTGTGACCATGTTAACACAGGTCTGGAGCAGTCTGGGAGGAGAGCCCAGCTGGAGGCAGTGTACAATATTTCTGTGCCTCTGCATGTGGAGCTTGCTCACACCATCATAACAGAGAGCTGGTCTACCTTGGAGAATAAACAGGGCAGGGAGGCATGGCCTCTTGCCAGTGTGGTAGACCAGCATATATTTACTGTTCACTCAGAACTTCAGGTTGGTTTTGACTGTAAACATGGGGAGAGGTGTTAGTTCAGCTGACCATCCTTAGTACACTACATCACTGCAGGGGAGAGACAGAGAATTGGGAAGGGAGAGAGAGAGAGGGAAGGAGGGAAAGAAAAAAGAGAGAGGGAGAGAGATAGAGTGAAGGAAAGAGAGGGAGGGTGGCAGGGGATGTATGTGTGTGTGAGAGAGATTTGTGTGTGTTTGTGTGTGTGAGAGAGAGAGAGAGAACAGCTGATGGTGTTGCCTACTAGCGGCTCTAGGTGCCAAGTTGGCTGTCAGCCATGGTAACAAGTGTTCTCATTCACTGCGACAGGCACGTGTTCTGAGGACAGGCACATGTTTTGTGAGGAGAGTACAACTGGATTTTACAACCTGTCACACACACAGGTTTCTCTGCAGGCCTCACACCCTGACCTGGACTTTGTTTGATTCTCTCCTTCTCTCTCTCTCCCTCCTCTCTCTTTCTCTCCCTCCCCCCTTCTCTCTTTCTCTTCCTTTCTCCCATCTCTCTCTCTCTCTCTCTCTCTCTCTCTCTCTCTCTCTCTCTCCCCTATTAAATTGAATTCTAAGCAGTTCCTGATAGAAGATTGGTATTATAACCCCTTCTCAAACACAACACACACACTGTTTAAACCTGATACATAAACTTTGATAGTTTTTACTTTTATTTTTTGTTACAAAATTATTCATAAGTAAAAAGGAGGGGATAAACAGGATAAACATGTCAACTTTTTTATCAGTAACAGTAATTATTATGTGTTGAAATTTTTTATCAGAATTGTTTTAATTATTTCAGTTAAAGCTTGGGAAGATGATAAAACTTTTCAGGAGCTAAGTAGAAAAAAATAAGTTCAGGCAGGGAAAGCACTGCACTCTTGAAATAATTGCCCAAGTCTACTGCTGCACTTCTAACAGACATTACCCTAAAACTTCACCTGTCTGACCAAGGGGTGAAACTACACAGCATTCAGGCTAGACACTCTTTCCTCCTTGTCTAAAAGACTTCTTTTGTTGATATTTCTAGGTCACAAACTACAGCCTCAGCAAATGGAATTTGGCCACGATAACATGACCCTCGGCAACATGGGGGAGAGCGACGAAACTTCCAATATGGACAGCGATGATCTGGTGCCTAGTCTGAGGGTAAGGAGCAGAGCGGGGGGGGGGGGGATCTGAGGGTAGAAGTGAACAGGTGGTGTTTAGAGTTGAGGGAATGGAGAGAGGGTATCAAAGAGACTGCAGTGTTTTTATCAAGCTTTGCGCTTTTCAAACTTGTTGAATTTAATTGCACACAAGAAAATATTCTTTCATTGCTGAAAACAGTAATTTACCCCTGCTGTTATCTGATGCAACATATCCCAATAACTATGTCCTGGTTGACTGACCTGTGTGATCAGAAGTATTCTTGTCTATTTCAACATATCCCAATAACTATGTCCTGGTTGACTGACCTGTGTGATCAGAAGTATTCTTGTCTATTTCAACATATCCCAATAACTATGTCCTGGTTGACTGACCTGTGTGATCAGAAGTATTCTTGTCTATTTCAACATATCCCAATAACTATGTCCTGGTTGACTGACCTGTGTGATCAGAAGTATTCTTGTCTATTTCAACATATCCCAATAACTATGTCCTGGTTGACTGACCTGTGTGATCAGAAGTATTCTTGTCTATTTCAACATATCCCAATAACTATGTCCTGGTTGACTGACCTGTGTGATCAGAAGTATTCTTGTCTATTTCAACATATCCCAATAACTATGTCCTGGTTGACTGACCTGTGTGATCAGAAGTATTCTTGTCTATTTCAACATATCCCAATAACTATGTCCTGGTTGACTGACCTGTGTGATCAGAAGTATTCTTGTCTATTTCAACATATCCCAATAACTATGTCCTGGTTGACTGACCTGTGTGATCAGAAGTATTCTTGTCTATTTCAACATATCCCAATAACTATGTCCTGGTTGACTGACCTGTGTGATCAGAAGTATTCTTGTCTATTTCAACATATCCCAATAACTATGTCCTGGTTGACTGACCTGTGTGATCAGAAGTATTCTTGTCTATTTCAACATATCCCAATAACTATGTCCTGGTTGACTGACCTGTGTGATCAGAAGTATTCTTGTCTATTTCAACATATCCCAATAACTATGTCCTGGTTGACTGACCTGTGTGATCAGAAGTATTCTTGTCTATTTCAACATATCCCAATAACTATGTCCTGGTTGACTGACCTGTGTGATCAGAAGTATTCTTGTCTATTTCAACATATCCCAATAACTATGTCCTGGTTGACTGACCTGTGTGATCAGAAGTATTCTTGTCTATTTCAACATATCCCAATAACTATGTCCTGGTTGACTGACCTGTGTGATCAGAAGTATTCTTGTCTATTTCAACATATCCCAATAACTATGTCCTGGTTGACTGACCTGTGTGATCAGAAGTATTCTTGTCTATTTCAACATATCCCAATAACTATGTCCTGGTTCACTGACCTGTGTGATCAGAAGTATTCTTGTCTATTTCAACATATCCCAATAACTATGTCCTGGTTCACTGACCTGTGTGATCAGAAGTATTCTTGTCTATTTCAACATATCCCAATAATAACTATGTCCTGGTTCACTGACCTGTGTGATCAGAAGTATTCTTGTCTATTTCAACATATCCCAATAACTATGTCCTGGTTCACTGACCTGTGTGATCAGAAGTATTCTTGTCTATTTCAACATATCCCAATAACTATGTCCTGGTTCACTGACCTGTGTGATCAGAAGTATTCTTGTCTATTTCAACATATCCCAATAATAACTATGTCCTGGTTCACTGACCTGTGTGATCAGAAGTATTCTTGTCTATTTCAACATATCCCAACAATAACTATGTCCTGGTTCACTGACCTGTGTGATCAGAAGTATTCTTGTCTATTTCAGGAGGATATTAGCAATGAACTGTTAAATGACATGGAGAGTGTTCTGAATGGCCAGGACAGTCTACAGACCCTCACATGGCTGTGAAACTACTCACTACATAAAACTAAGAACAAAGATCTTCAACTTGTAATATAGTATTATTATTATCATTATTATAGTGGAGAATGGAAGTTTTCTTTTGAAGCACCAAATGAGTAATTCACTCAAAGTCAGATTTTTATTATTTTATCTATCTTTTAGAAGTAGTTGTTGTATTTTTGTAACAGAATGAAGCTTAACTTATCTATTTTGTAAGAGCAAATTGTTATTTTTTATCAAAATTATGATATTTCATCATGGAGTTTGTGGCTCTTCTTGACCGCTTTCAAGACACTGGTGTCATCTAATGGTGATATAAAAAAGTTAAGTTTAGGACAGGTATGACACATTCAGAAGGAAAAAAATGATATTGGGGTGGATTAATTGGCAGTTCTACTTATAACGGTGCTATACTATTGTCATAATTCCTGGTTTACCCAGTTTGAGGCTGTCGAGTGGAGTCTGCAGGTTTTATCACTGATTTGCTCTTACAGTATGGATAATGCTCTCATGGGAACCTCCAATCATGTGTGTAGATATGTAAAGAGAAAATAATACAAAAAGGGAAACACACCAAAGTGACAAAAAGGCAACACGTAAAACAATTTCAAAAGGATAGCCTTTGAATAGATTCCCTGCAGTTGATGGAAAGAAAAACTGGTTTAACAGGCGTTTTGTTATAAGACAGCCATGTACCACCTCTGTGTAAATATAACTGCACTGGTTTCATCTTATAAATATGAACAAATAGTTTTGAAGAGAGTGAAAATTTGGAAGTTTTGTTGTTGTGGGAGTGAACTCTGAGAGGCAAGCAGACTGTTCTTACATACATACAAGTATTTATACACTATTTTCACCATTGTAAGAATAAAATCAGATGTACTATATAATGTCAGTTGATAGGGCAGAAATGGGGAGGGATTAGCTCTCCTTTTTTTTATGAAAATGACAGTTACGGTGTTTGCTGGTGTTTTTAAGAAAGGGTAAAATTCAGTGAAAAAAGAATGCCCAGTTAAGCCCCCACCTTCACTTAAAATAATAGAACAGAGTTATTGATTACCACTTACCTCTTTAATACTAGCATAGCTTCCTGTTTTTCGCAGACATGAGCCCATGTTTGAGAACACAAAACATTTATTGGGGAACCAAACACCTTACGTAAATTTTTTTTTTTTTATTTTTTTTTTTTTGGGGGGGGGGGGTAATTGCTTTAGGGTCATGTAAAAAAAGCATAATTCTGTGATTCTGCAAGAAAAACTCATGTCTGTTTTTGCTATAAGACAAGAACAAGAATTTCCTAAAATTCAGATCAACTATTTTGAGACAGTTTGTGTGGAAACCAGTACGGTCAATCCCCCCCTCCCCCCCCAACCCCTCGCTCCATCTTTACCCCATCTTCACCTGTCTTCTGCCAGGTTTACTATCGTTGCCATTCCTATCTGACTGATGAGCAAGAAGTTCCTCTTCCGTCTCTGCCTCGATCAAACTGACCTTATTCTATAACGTTATATGCATGAGCAGTTGAATAACACAATTTATGTCATCATTTACATAAGGCCAGCTGTGTTGGCTTGGTGCAAGTACAGAAATATTATTTGCATAACATGCAATAATTTTTAGTAATATTACTTAGTTATATGTACAGATTATATGATGAAAAGAGTTGTATTCTGTAGTTTTAAGAGAAAGCTCATAATTTCATCTGTTACAGAAATAAAATGCAGCATGAAACAATTATTATTGAAAAATCTTTAAAATTATGAAAAAGAAACATTGAAAAAATGTTTAATATATATAGAGTTATTATCAGGGAGAGTATTGTCACATGTGCATCCATATACATCTTATACTTGTATATTTTTTCTACACTCAATCATTGTACATAGATAGCATAGTGTACTTCAGTTATCACTCGATCTTTTCAATGGGAGACAGTTGTGAATTTTTCCGAAAAACTATATTTTTTAAGGTCATAATTTCTTAAAAGTAGAATGTTACTGTTGAGTGTTAGCAACAAAATTAAAAAGCAGGCTACATGTTCCATTTTATGCAGCAAACACAACACAAATGCTATATAGAAATAAGGTTTTGTGATGATAAAATTTTGTATCTGAAAGTGAGATAATTCCTGTTCATTGAAAAGATGGAGTCATAACTGTATTAAGTTACCCTCAAACTGACACTTGGAATGGATCCCCATTCTGAGATTATCTTTGCTGATAGTTTTATCCAAGTTTGTATATTACAAAGACAGTATTTGACCACTGGGTGTTGTATAAGGTTTGTTCATCGCGCAGTCATGTGAGGGTCCGCTGTCAGGGAACACCTTATGACTTGAAAGTCAACAGACAGCTTGGAGCAACACAAGCGTTCCCCTACAGTAGCCATTTTGAATGTCTGCACTGCATTTAATGGCAGACCAAGCAAGAGGAGCAGGAAAGTTAAAGATGAAAACTCAAAAGGGCAATTTGCATTCATCTCGAAGAAATGCTGAAATTATTTGTATGTTGATATATAATAGACTCAGATGTTATATTTTAGTTATTTTAATTTTAAACCTCTTTTAATAAAAGAGAGGAAAAGTGATGTATGGGCAAGTGTAGCTTAGGGAATTGTTATAAAGTTGAAGAGTACTTAAAAAGTTCCATTATTGTGTCGACATTGTTGCCAACCTCCTGGTTACCAAGGGAGAAGATGACACGAGGGTCGTCTTTAAGCTCTCCAGATTGAAGAACTGAGGTGAAAAATGATTTTATTTCTATTGAGACGTGGGTTTATTAAGGTCCCAAGCAAACGTGGCCAGAAACACACAAAACTGGTGCAAGTGTGGGTGAAGCGTCTTCTCAGGTTGGGATTCGCCAATCCTTAGATTAAAAACTAACGACCTGAAGAGCTCCACACAATGTTTACATCTGGACATTTCAACTTGTGTTCAGACAGAATGAATCAAGTAATTAAGAGAACATTCAGTGTAATAACACTGGTGTTATGTAAGATCCAGTGTGAATGTACGTAAGATGCAATACAACAGACGCCAGAGGCTCTGACCAATACATAACATAACAAGAAATACAACATTGTTACTGTTTAATACAATATCAAATGATTGATCACAGTAATAACTGTACAGCAGCAAAATGATCAAGTCTGAGCATTGTAAACAGTAAGTTACTGTTTTGATGTATAGATATAATGAAGAGGGTTGAACTTCACCAGATTGTTCCATATTATTGAGAACCTTTTATTGAATGTTGACTAGAAGAGCCTTGAAATTATTGGTTATTATTCATAAAAAGTAACCCTTGTTTAAAAACTTTCTTGAGTCATGTTTAGAGGATTGTATTTAGTTTGATCTCATTTAATTATTGATAAAAAGTTTGTTTATTTGATGTTGGCAAGTTGACCATTAACTTTGAATTGTATTGCAGGCGGTTCTTCTACTGTGCCTGTTTGGCTTCAAGGACATCAGATCTGACCTATAAATATCCAGTAATGTATGTCAGTGTAACCCAGATACATAATTACAAGGCAGTGACCTTGACCTACTACTGGTCAAGGGCATATTGTTTGTATAGATCAATACTGTCAAGTTAAACAATTTATGTTCAGTACCAGAACCTTTAGTGTATTGTACAACTACTGCAAGCGGCAAGTTCAAGCTACTTACAAAAGATCAAAAGAAAGAAAAAAAAGTCCATTCCTTATTTATCTATAATATCTATGCAATTTGAATAACATCAAAAATCTGCTGACAAAAAAAAAAAGCAAAAGATTAGAAAAAGTAATAAACAAAATTGTAAATATTTGTATAATAGTTTTATACAACTAGAGGATTATTTTATATCAAGAAACTAAGATACGTAGTGGTTTTATTGTCAAGTCCGTTTATGTATTATGGACTAGAAATAAATTTTTATGAAAAAGAATCACTTCTTATTTTGTGGTCTTAAATAATAATTGGTCATTTATGGTGTTAAGACAGTGAACTTATATTGTGGTCCAAATTAATAACTGGTCATCTATGGTGATAGGACTGGACTTCTTATCTTGTGGTCTAAATTAATAATAACAGGTCATCTGTGTTGATAGGACTGGACTTCTTATCTTGTGGTCTAAATTAATAAGAACTGGTCATCTATGGTGATAGGACTGGACTTCTTATCTTGTGGTCTAAATTAATAAGAACTGGTCATCTAAGGCTGTTTTCCCAGAGCTTTAAGATCGATCTATCCCTGCGGGGAGTCTCAGTAGATTACTGTCAGATAATCCGGCTTAAATGTCCGTCCCGCCTACTACATGCTGTAAGGGGGTAATTAACTTTCGTGTCCGCCCGGCTGACAGCTATTTAGCGTGAACCCCCAGGGAGTTAGGTCGATCTAAAGTAGATCGATCTAATCTGTGGAAATGAGGTCTAAGGTGATAGGACTGGACTTCTTATCTTGTGGTCTAAATTAATAATAACTGGTCATCTACGGTGACGGGACTGGACTTATCTTGTGGTCTAAATTAATAATAACTGGTCATCTATGATGTTAAGCCAGTGGACATAAGGCCAGGACAAGTGCAATGTGACACAACAAACACTATTGCAGCCTGTCTTGACCTGACGTTCACTGTCCTGCTCCATGGCGCCATCTATCTAGCAGAAAGCCATCCTCCAAAACTTGGGTCATCACCTCTCTCATCCAGAATTGTGAATGACTGCATCATTAATACCCCATAGCATTTAACAAACTGCAATCAATCATTGCTTGACCTTTTTATGGTTCCTTTTTTCGTCTCACGTTTTTAAAAATACAAAACTGTTACAACTACAACATGGCCTTAAAATCCCAAGTCTGCTTATTTATTTGCAGTGATAAATAACCCATCACACAACATCATTGTTTTAGTAATCCATGTGTGATATGACTACACAACAAAGTCTCTATATACATAGCCAATAAAATATTGCATCTAATGTTCAAAATGTACAGGATCATGTAGCAATACATTCTACTGGACCAAGTTCACTTATGTACAAACCATCTAAAATGTCTGTGACAACGAAGTTCCGTCAAGGTGCAAATATTATAAACAGCAGGCAGTTTCTATGCACACCAAGGATATGACCTAGATCAAGATACATCTTACTCCAGTTCAGCCAAACCCCATCACAGGTGACATGACCTATTTTTTAAATGAATACTTCAGGATTTATTCAAACCTTCAAACTAAATTCTATGCCAGAATGTTCCAACGTCTTTGTCTCATTGTTACCTTTAAAACTGGAGAGTTATACCAGCTTGTTTTTCAAAGATCAGAGATTCTTTATTCATAAAAACTGCAGTTTGGTATTCCAATGTGATTACAATTGTACATAAGAAAAGAAAAATCACACAGAAACACTAATTCTTGTCAAAGCCAGTTTCTCTTTTTGTTCCCTCGTTTGGTTTGGTCAAGGTCTGTAAAAGACGGTCAAGGTCTGTAAAAGATGGTCAAGTTCTGTACAAGAGGGTCAGGTTCTTTACAGTATGGTCAGCCTGGTCTTGGCCGTATTCACCTGCCAGACGTTAAGCTCCTCGTACTCCTCAATACACTCTTCAACCTGGTGAGGCTTGAATCCTTTAGAAGCACAGCGCTCCATGATGTCGGCCATCTTGATGGACTTTGCCCCCTTGGCTGGCGCCATTTCCTTCACCAGGTTGAAAACTTGGTCCTTCCAATTTTGTTTCCTGAAATAGAAAAAGTCATCATGCAGTAAAATACCTCCATAGCTTGGAGTGCCCCTTACAACTTATATTTAGTAGAATTTTGTCACAAACCAAAACTATCTTTTACCTAAGACCTACATCTGAAGTGGATGAGCATTTAATACGTAGAAGACAAAATGATGGGAGCTTTTATTTCTTAATTTGTTCTTGTATATATTCAGAATACTCCTTCAAACTGATGATGGAGCGTTCTCACTCATTTGTTTCTTATTATAATTTTTCAGTACTGAAATTGCGTCATTTATATCTGATCTCTCCCACCACATACCTCCCGGCCGTCTCCTCTGTACTCAGGGATTCCTTCGACATCTCAATAAGCCGCATGGCTTCATTCACATCTTCCTTCTCAACGACATCAGCAAGTCTGAGCCGCGCCTGGAATAATCAACATTAGGGTGTGATGACACACAAACTTCGAAACGATTACACTGAGGAGAGAGATCTTCTTCAACATTACACCCTGCTGTTACAGTTTGGTTGCAAAGGTCAGGGGCAACCTGGCCTGGATTAGTGTCACAAAATGACACACTTCGGTCCTTCACATCTTAAACATAGGGATCATTTTGAATCCACACTGAAAAATGTAGGATTATTTCCTAAGTCACTGGGCCAAGTCCAAAAAGTGTCCCATTTGTAAAAGATTTAAATTTTGCTAACAAAAACATTAACTTAAAACCAAAAACCACATACTGCTTCTCTTTCAATAGACATGAGCTTAGGTTAAAAAAAAAAAAAAAAAAAAAAGAGAGAGAACCCTCTGAACGTTCATCGTGGGACCTAACACTTAACTTGGCGAATCTCAGAAACCATCAGAATTGAATTAAAAAAGGCAGAATTCTGCATTTCCGCGGAAAAAGCTTGTCTGTTTCAAAGCAAATTTGCTTCTTTAGTAACATTAAATGATAACCTTGTTGTCAACTGACCAGAGCAGTGGACAGCCTCAGTATGGCCAACAGTGACCTTGCAGAGGTGAAGGTCGTGTCCTTGCTATTCCTGGCCTCCTTTCTCATCTCCACATATGCTCCAGTCAGGTAGTCTGTCAGAGCNCGGTACTGGACTTCTTATCTTGTGGTCTATATTAATAAGAACTGGTCACCTATGGTGATAGGACTGGACTTCTTATCTTGTGGTCTAAATTAATAACTGGTCATCTATGGTGACAGGACGACTTTTTATCTTGTGGTCTAAATTAATAATAACTGGTCATCTATGGTGATAGGACTGGACTTCTTATCTTGTGGTCTAAATTAATAATAACTCGTCATCTAAGGTGATAGAACTGGACTTATCTTGTGGTCTAAATTAATAACAACTGGTCATCTATGGTGATAGGACTGGACTTCTTATCTTGTGGTCTAAATTAATAATAACTGGTCATCTATGACGTTAAGCCAGAGGACATAAGGCCAGGACAAGTGCAATGTGACACAACAAACACTATTGCAGCCCGTCTTGACCTGACGTTCACTGTCCTGCTGCATGGCGCCATCTATCTAGCAGAAAGCCATCCTCCAAAACTTGGTACATCACCTCTCTCATCCAGAATTGTGAATGACTGCATCATTAATATCCCATAGTATTTAACAAACTGCAATCAATCATTGCTCGACCTTTTTCCGATTCCTTTTTTCATCTCGCAACATTCTTAAAAATATAAAACTGGTACAACAACTACAACATGGCCTTAAAATCACAAGTCTGCTTATTTATTTGCAGTGATAAATAACCCATCACACAACATCGTTTTAGTAATCCATGTGTGATATGAATACACAACAGAGTCTCTATATACATAGCCAATAAAATATTGCATCTAATGTTCAAAATGTACAGGATCATGTAGCAATACATTCTACTGGACCAAGTTTACCTATGTACAAACCATCTAAAATGTCTGTAACAATGAAGTTCCGTCAAAGTGCAAGTATTATAAATAGCAAGCAGTTTCTGTGCACACCAAGGATATGACCTAGATCAAGATACATCTTACTCCAGTTCAGCCAAACCCCATCACAGGTGACATGACCTATTTTTTAAATGAATACTTCAGGATTTATTCAAACCTTCAAACTAAATTCTATGCCAGAATGTCCCAACGTCTTTGTCTCATTGTTACCTTTAAAACTGGAGAGTTACACGAGCTTGTTTTTTAAAGATCAGAGCTTCTATATTCATAAAAACTGCAGTTTGGTATTCCAATGTGATTACAATTGTACATAAGAAAAGAAAAATAACACAGAAACACTAATTCTTGTCAAAGCCAGTTTCTCTTTTTGTTCCCTCGTTTGGTTTGGTCAAGGTCTGTAAAAGACGGTCAAGGTCTGTAAAAGATGGTCAAGTTCTGTACAAGAGGGTCAGGTTCTTTACAGTATGGTCAGCCTGGTCTTGGCCGTATTCACCTGCCAGACGTTAAGCTCCTCGTACTCCTCAATACACTCTTCAACCTGGTGAGGCTTGAATCCTTTAGAAGCACAGCGCTCCATGATGTCGGCCATCTTGATGGACTTTGCCCCCTTGGCTGGCGCCATTTCCTTCACCAGGTTGAAAACTTGGTCCTTCCAATTTTGTTTCCTGAAATAGAAAAAGTCATCATGCAGTAAAATACCTCCATAGCTTGGAGTGCCCCTAACAACTTATATTTAGTAGAATTTTGTCACAAACCAAAACTATCTTTTACCTAAGACCTACATCTGAAGTGGATGAGCATTTAATACGTAGAAGACAAAATGATGGGAGCTTTTATTTCTTAATTTGTTCTTGTATATATTCAGAATACTCCTTCAAACTGATGATGGAGCTTTCTCACTCATTTGTTTGTTATTATTATTTTTCAGTACTGAAATTGCGTCATTTATATCTGATCTCTCCCACCACATACCTCCCGGCCGTCTCCTCTGTACTCAGGGATTCCTTCGACATCTCAATAAGCCGCATGGCTTCATTCACATCTTCCTTCTCAACGACATCAGCAAGTCTGAGCCGCGCCTGGAATANAAAAAAAAAAAAAAAAAGAACCCTCTGAACGTTCATTGTGGGACCTAACACTTAACTTGGCGAATCTCAGAAACCATCAGAATTGAATTAAAAAAGGCAGAATTCTGCATTTCCGCGGAAAAAGCTTGCCTGTTTCAAAGCAAATTTGCTTCTTTAGTAACATTAAATGATAACCTTGTTGTCAACTGACCAGAGCAGTGGACAGCCTCAGTATGGCCAACAGTGACCTTGCAGAGGTGAAGGTCGTGTCCTTGCTATTCCTGGCCTCCTTTCTCATCTCCACATATGCTCCAGTCAGGTAGTCTGTCAGAGCCTCGGGGATCACTGGATTCTTCTTCTTACACAATGCTACATAACGCCTGACAAAATAGGATAGATAATATACTAGTCTATATTTAGACGATTAAATACAATGCAAAAAGACCCCCCCCTCCATTAAGATATTTCAATGTCACCTTTATTCTACTCTTTATACATCAGAAATGCACAACCCCCTACTGCACTATTTATAAAGAAGAGAGACATTACTTCACCTTCTACCCACTAACAAAGTATAAATAGTTGAACTCCTAAGATAAAAGTTTGTTAAGTTCATTAATCATAGCATAGGTGCTGTGGGTAATTATACACCATGCCTGTATCTATAGAATTCCTCCATCAATTCCCTCTACTCTGTCCACTACCTACTACTCTGTCCACTCCCTACTACCCTCTACTCTGTCCACTCCCCTCTACACTGCCTACTACTCACCTCATCAGCTTCATGTCCAGTGGTGTGAACTGTGACGGAGGCTGCACATTGTGTTGGTGGACATAGGTGATGTGCTGGGCAAGTCTGGAAATATAACACTTACATTATATCACACTTAACACAATGTCACACCTAACACACTGTCAGATCTTACCGTCACACCTACCACACTGTCACATCTAACACACTGTAACATCTCACACTGTCACACCCCAAACGCTGTCACATCTAACACACTGTCACATCTAACACCATGAAATCTAACACACTGTGCTGTTGCACATAGGAGATGTGCTGGGCAAGCCTGGAAATATAACCAACTGATATCTAGATATTATGTAACATATAATACAAACAAATCAACTCTCCTCTCCCTAAGCTGGGTGGTCAGGTTAGCAACTTTGGTAACTTGAACCTCTGAAAATTAGTCTGAGTGAGCTCTGACATTTGGTTGAACTCAAAGCATTCCTATTATTTGGTTGTCAGATTAGGTTCCTTCACAGGGCACACGTATTCTGATTCTTATTAATACTGCATACAAGAAATGGATAAAAACCAAACTGTAGAAGGCACAAAGTTACCTGAGGTCATTCTCTCTGTCTGCCTTGTCCTGCATCAGCCACAGCAGGTCAAACCTGGACAACAGCGCTGCCGGTAGCTGGATGTTCTGTTCTACAGACTTCTTGGGATTGTAGCGACCATAGGCAGGATTGGCAGCTGCGAGGATGGACACTCGAGCATTGAGACTAGTCATGATGCCCGCCTGGGAAACAATACAAATAGAAGCTTTAACTTTTGGTTTGGCCAGAAAATTGATGATATTGTTTATTAAAGCTGTGTTACTCATTAACCACAAATGGAACTCCAAAGTTCGACACTTTCATCCTCACAAGTTGGTGATCCCAGGGGATATTTTCAGAAGAAAAACTGTAACCGTAAAAGATTTTAGGCCCTTGATGATTTCACCAAAGCAAAGCAATGACAGAAATAATACTAGGTCATATTCACATCAACATTACTCTGTGATCACTGTTGTTCCCCCAAGAAGACACCCACCTTAGCAATGGAGATAGTCTGTTGTTCCATGACCTCATGAATACACGTCCTGTCAGCGTCCATCATCTTGTCAAACTCGTCAATACAGCAGACGCCCTGGTCAGCCAGGACAAGAGCGCCACCTTCCAGGACCATCTCATTGGTCAGCGGGTCCTTCATGACGGCCGCAGTAAGACCCACCCCTGAGGAGCCACGCCCCGTTGTGTACTGACCTAAAGGTGGACCAGAAAATATACAGGTTATGGAAAAGGTAAACATATGGGAAACTGAAAAATAAATTGTTTGAAGGAGGACGTCAGTTCTGCAAGAGCGTTGAACTCCCAAGATGAAAGTGTGTCAAGTTCATTGATCATAGCACACGTGCTGAGGGTACTTATCCACTGATTTGGTGACCTTTTGATGCACACATTAAATTCAACAGAATCAGGGCATAATTAAGATATCTCCTCTGCTACATGACATGGGCACATGTGGAATGAAGAAGGCAGAGATATGTAACTAGTCCGTTCACACATTATTTTGGAGAACTGTGTACAAAAGACAGAAAATGTCAAGGTCATCCTTGAACTGAGCATCTAGGGAGTTCAACCCCCTTGTTTTGAGTAACATGTACTTATCTACTTCCTCAATTCACTAATCATCACTCTAAAACAAGAACAATGTGGTTATAAATTGTAAATAAACAAAACTGAGATATATAGGAATCATCGCTCAAACTGCTCATTATTCTCCAAACTGCCCAGAGGTCAGAGGTCAGCCATACTCACTTCTGGGGGCCAGTCTGTCCACATAGGACAAGAGTTGAGACTTGGCCACTCCTGGGTCTCCCATTAGACAGATGTTGATGTTTCCTGGGGGTAAATATATAATCCAAGTTAACTTTATCTCTGTTAAAATATTACATTGCTTGGTTTCATTTGTATTAAAAGTAAAGTTGTGTAAGTTAACTATTATCTCCTTTTTTTATTCAAGATTTTAATGAATTTATTTTCAATGTGGAAATGTCTGTACAATAGCAAAACCATGTCACTGAGTTGATAACAACAATATGTATTTGAAGCTCACCCCTAATTTTCATTCCCTTTGGAGATCTGTCCACACCTCCAACCAGGAGTAACAGTAACGCTTTCTTAACATCTTCAAGTCCGTAGATCTCAGGAGCAATACTGTAAGCTAACTTCTCATAAAAATCATTCTCTGAAATAAAATGAAACTTGACAATCACCTTTGGTTTTGAATCCATCTGAACAAGTTTGACATAAAAATGGTAGTTTCACATAACTAATTGCAACTATCCTGACATTTTTCGATTAATATCTAATGATTGAAGAGATTAAGATTACCATGGTTTTTAGATTTATAAATTCTTAAACTTATATTTGATTAACGTCAATCTACACAATGAGCTGCAATAATTAGAGCTTTACCTGCCATTTGTGAAATCTCGTCCTCCGTCAAATCAGCCGCCTCCAGTTCATCATCCTCAGTTTTGTTCATACGCACAATTCTCTAAATATTCAAAAATGGTGCATGAAAAAATATGTGTAAGGATTATTTGCAAGAAATCTAAGATAAAAAAAACAAGTCACCAACTAATAAAAATACATTTGGTCAAAGAAACTCAGAAAATCTTAGGAATACAAAGGCAGGCAGTATTTGCTTTATCTCTATCCATGTTGAAAATCATTTTCATAATTCTCCAACCAAAGTCTGGTTTTGCTGCAAAGACACAGACCCTGGGTTCTAACATACCAGACATGCTGAAACTGTCGGTCCGATTGGTCATGACCGGGAAATTTTGTCTGGACCGGTAGAAAATTGGACTTGGTCGGTCCAAAGGACCGACAAGAGTTTTAAGAACTGCAATTTTGAATTTACAGTCATCTTTCGACATACTTCACTAATAAAATTAAATTAATTAATTAATTAAACCCAAAGCGTTTTTTCCCTTCCATTTCAAAACTATCACATTCACAAACAAAGTAAGCTACCCTAATCGTACTGGTAGTATCTGTTACAAACGAATAGAGTGATTTCCGGTCCGACAAAAATCCATTTGGTCCGGCAAATTTTTCATTACTGCCAGTCCAAATGTCCGGCAATTCTGAAAAGTTTTCAGCATGTCTGACATACCTTTGATAAAACTCAGCATATCACATGAAACTCAGTAGTTCTTTGATAATATTTTTGAAGGATAACAACTGTTAATTTTGGCCAAAAATATCTTAGACACTTCCACTTCTGGTCTTCTATATCAACAGAGACATGAGATATTCTTGAATACCAAAAGATGTGTTCTACTTACATGAGCATCCAGGAATGTCTCAGACAGTAAACCAGCTGCTATCTGTTTGTAGCCACTCCTCACCATGGGCAAGAAGATCTGGAGGCACAGAGTTAAGGGGGATTACTTTCATCTAAATAGGTGAGAGTTGGAGCACTTTTGTTTTTTGAACTTTGGTGTGATACAAAACTAATCAAGAGGGCTGAACTGCAAAGGAGTTTTGTTGAGTATGTTGATAATTCTGGAATTTTCTCTCTTTTACACACAGAACTGAGTAAAACATATCTTGGCTTTCTTGATCCCAAATGTGCTCATGAATATAGCACAGGTGCTTACTTATGCCTGGACTTGGTGACCCTTTCCATGTATAGTGATGCTGACATGGACTGTACCCCCCACCCCCACCCCAATGGATCATTATTTCTACCACAGAACTAACATCCATGTTTCAATACTACTTTTACTGTATGAACATAGTAGAAAGGATACCCCAGTAACGCTGACGTGATCCCCTGGCTGCGCCAGTCGTGTGTTCTCGCCCTTACAGTACACTGTCATACTCCGCGGGATGTTTCCAACTGGTACCTGGTCACTCTGGAGATGAAATATCACACGGATAATATTACGCTAAAAACATCATCTTAAAATTCAGATTTAATGGAAATAAAGGTCAGCCACCTATCAGCTGGACATAAAAGTTACATAAAATGGTACAATATTTGTAAGTATAACTGTGCTCATTTTAAAATATATGGCTGCTGGATAAGAGCTGGCTTTCCTGCAGGTAGAAGTTGCTTTGAGGGACTGCAATCCTGATGCATTACAACCTGGAAGTATTTTCATTTTGCTCACGCACCAACCCACGCACGCTTGCATGCACCCCACCCTCTCAGAATATCAAGTATTTGTATTGGTCAACTCTTTACTTACATGTTCCTGTATTTTCAGTTCCTGGAACTTGATGAACTTTGACCCCCGGGTCTGCAGATACAGGCGCCCTCCAGATCGGTTGGTGACGCAGTCTTGACTAGGACACATGATCAGCGGCATGAAGACTGGAGACGCAATCTGCAGACACAGAGAAACACTCTGTTGTTAGCAAGGAATGCAGGACAGACAGTGTAGCATACAAGGATGACACTCTTAACAACTTGTGATTACAGCTTAACACTAGAAATGGGATATAAACATGACATCTAAAAAATCCAGAAAAAGCAAGCAGTTTAAGTATAATTATAAGATAGCTTAAACTGCCAGACGTTATTCCTTTTTTTTTTTCTTTTGGCTAAAAGAATTATAAAAATTTATATAAGTGTTCAGCTCAATTGGGAGGAGGGGGGGGGGTGGCAACTAATACNAAAAAAAAAAAAAAAAAAAAAAGAGAGAGAACCCTCTGAACGTTCATCGTGGGACCTAACACTTAACTTGGCGAATCTCAGAAACCATCAGAATTGAATTAAAAAAGGCAGAATTCTGCATTTCCGCGGAAAAAGCTTGTCTGTTTCAAAGCAAATTTGCTTCTTTAGTAACATTAAATGATAACCTTGTTGTCAACTGACCAGAGCAGTGGACAGCCTCAGTATGGCCAACAGTGACCTTGCAGAGGTGAAGGTCGTGTCCTTGCTATTCCTGGCCTCCTTTCTCATCTCCACATATGCTCCAGTCAGGTAGTCTGTCAGAGCCTCGGGGATCACTGGATTCTTCTTCTTACACAATGCTACATAACGCCTGACAAAATAGGATAGATAATATACTAGTCTATATTTAGACATTTAAATACAATGCCAAAAGACCCCCCCTCCATTAAGATATTTCAATGTCATCTTTATTCTACTCTTTATACATCAGAAATGCACAACCCCCTACTACACTATTTCTAAAGAAGAGAGACATTACTTCACCTTCTACCCACTAACAAAGTATAAATAGTTGAACTCCTAAGATAAAAGTTTAAGTTCATTAATCATAGCATAGGTGCTGTGGGTAATTATACACCATACCTGTATCTATAGAATTCCTCCATCAATTCCCTCTACTCTGTCCACTACCTACTACTCTGTCCACTACCCTCTACTCTGTCTACTCCCCTCTACACTGCCTACTACTCACCTCATCAGCTTCATGTCCAGTGGTGTGAACTGTGACGGAGGCTGCACATTGTGTTGGTGGACATAGGTGATGTGCTGGGCAAGTCTGGAAATATAACACTTACATTATATCACACCTAACACAATGTCACACCTAACACACTGTCACATCTTACCGTCACCTACCACACTGTCACATCTAACACACTGTCACACCCCAAACGCTGTCACATCTTACACACTGTCACATACAGCACCATGAAATCTAACACACTGTGCTGTTGCACATAGGAGATGTGCTGGGCAAGCCTGGAAATATAACCAACTGATATCTAGATATTATGTAACATATAATACAAACAAATCAACTCTCCTCTCCCTAAGCTGGGTGGTCAGGTTAGCAACTTTGGTAACTTGAACCTCTGAAAATTAGTCTGAGTGAGCTCTGACATTTGGTTGAACTCAAAGCATTCCTATTATTTGGTTGTCAGATTAGGTTCCTTCACAGGGCACACGTATTCTGATTCTTATTAATACTGCATACAAGAAATGGATAAAAACCAAACTGTAGAAGGCACAAAGTTACCTGAGGTCATTCTCTCTGTCTGCCTTGTCCTGCATCAGCCACAGCAGGTCAAACCTGGACAACAGCGCTGCCGGTAGCTGGATGTTCTGTTCTACAGACTTCTTGGGATTGTAGCGACCATAGGCAGGATTGGCAGCCGCGAGGATGGACACTCGAGCATTGAGACTAGTCATGATGCCCGCCTGGGAAACAATACAAATAGAAGCTTTAACTTTTGGTTTGGCCAGAAAATTGATGATATTGTTTATTGAAGCTGTGTTACTCATTAACCACAAATGGAACTCCAAAACACACTTTCATCCTCACTAGTTGGTGATCCCAGGGGATATTTTCAGAAGAAAAACTGTACCCGTACAAATTTTTAGGCCCTTGAAGATTTCACCAAAGCAAAGCAATGACAGAAATAATTCCTGGGTCATATTCATATCAATACAACTCTGTGATCATAGCTGTTCACCAAGAAGACACCCACCTTAGCAATGGAGATGGTTTGTTGTTCCATGACCTCATGAATACACGTCCTGTCAGCGTCCATCATCTTGTCAAACTCGTCAATACAGCAGACGCCCTGGTCAGCCAGGACAAGTGCGCCACCTTCCAGGACCATCTCATTGGTCAGAGGGTCCTTCATGACAGCCGCGGTAAGACCCACCCCTGAGGAGCCACGCCCCGTTGTGTACTGACCTAAAGGTGGACCAGAAAATATACAGGTTATGGAAAGGTAAACATATGGGAAACTGAAAAATAAATTGTTTGAAGGAGGACGTCAGTTCTGCAAGAGCGTTGAACTCCCAAGATGAAAGTGTGTCAAGTTCATTGATCATAGCACACGTGCTGAGGGTACTTATCCACTGATTTGGTGACCTTTTGATGCACACATTAAATTCAACAGAATCAGGGCATAATTAAGATATCTCCTCTGCTACATGACATGGGCACATGTGGAATGAAGAAGACAGAGATATGTAACTAGTCCGTTCACACATTATTTTGGAGAACTGTGTACAAAAGACAGAAAATGTCAAGGTCATCCTTGAACTGAGCATCTACGGAGTTCAACCCCCCTTGTTTTGAGTAACATGTACTTATCTACTTCCTCAATTCTCTATTCATCACTCTAAAACAAGAACATAGTGGTTATAAGTTGTAAATAAACAAAACTGAGACATATAGGAATCATCACTCAAATTAATACATTATTCTCCAAACTGCCCAGAGGTCAGCCATACTCACTTCTAGGGGCCAGTCTGTCCACATAGGACAAGAGTTGCGACTTGGCCACTCCCGGGTCTCCCATTAGACAGATGTTGATGTTTCCTGGGGGTAAATATATAATCCAAGTTAACTTTATCTCTGTTAAAATATTACATTGCTTGGTTTCATTTGTATTAAAAGTAAAGTTGTGTAAGTTAACTATTATCTCCTTTTTCTTTTTTCAAGATTTTAATGAATTCATTTTCAATGTGGAAAATGTCTGTACAATAGCAAAACCATGTCACCGAGTTGATAACAACAATATGTATTTGAAGCTCACCCCTAATTTTCATTCCCTTTGGAGATCTATCTACACCTCCAACCAGGAGTAACAGTAACGCTTTCTTAACGTCTTCAAGTCCGTAGATCTCTGGAGCAATACTGTAAGCTAACTTCTCATAAAAATCATTCTCTGAAATAAAATGAAACTTGACAATCACCTTTGGTTTTGAATCCATCTGAACAAACTTGACATAAAAATGGTAGTTTCACATAACTAATCGCAACTATCCTGACATTTTTCGATTAATATCTAAAGATTGAAGTAATTTGAAGAGATTAAGATTAACATGGTTTTTAGATTTATAAATTCTTAAACTTATATTTGATTAACTTCAATCTACACAATGAGCTGCAATAATGTGTGCTTTACCTGCCATTTGTGAAATCTCATCCTCCGTCAAATCAGCTGCCTCCAGTTCATCATCCTCAGTTTTGTTCATACGCACAATTCTCTAAATATTCAAAAATGGTGCATGAAAAAATATGTGTAAGGATTATTTGCAAACAATCTAAGATAAAAAACAAGTCATCAACTAATAAAAATACATTTGGTCAAAGAAACTCAGAAAATCTTAGGAATACAAAGGCAGGCAGTATTTGCTTTATCTCTATCCATGTTGATAATCATTTTCATAATTCTCCAATCAAAGCCTGGTTTTGCTGCACAGACACAGACCCTGGGTTCTAACATACCTTTGATAAAACTCAGCATATCACATGAAAATCAGTAGTTCTTTGATAATATCTTTAAAGGATAACAACTGTTCATTTTGGCCAAAAATATCTTAGACACTTCCACTTCTGGTCTTCCATATAAACAGAGACACGAGATATTCTTGAATACCAAAAGATGTGTTCTACTTACGTGAGCATCCAGGAAAGTCTCAGACAGTAAACCAGCTGCTATCTGTTTGTAGCCACTCCTCACCATGGGCAAGAAGATCTGGAGGCACAGGGTTAAGGGGGATTACTTTCATCTAAATAGGTGAGAGTTGGAGCACTTTTGTTTTTTGCACTTTGGTGTGATACAAAACTTATCAAGAGGGCTGAACTGCAAAGGATTTTTGTTGAGTATGTTAATAATTCTGGAATTTTCTCTTTTTTACACACAGAACTGAGTAAAACATATCTTGTCTTTCTTGATCCCAAATGTGCTCATGAATATAGCACAGGTGCTTACTTATGCCTGGACTTGGTGACCCTTTCCATGTATAGTGATGCTGACATGGACTGTACCCCCCACCCCCACCCCAATGGATCATTATTTCTACCACAGAACTAACATCCATGTTTCAATACTACTTTTACTGTATGAACATAGTAGAAAGGATACCCCAGTAACGCTGACGTGATCCCCTGGCTGCGCCAGTCGTGTGTTCTCGCCCTTACAGTACACTGTCATACTCCGCGGGATGTTTCCAACTGGTACCTGGTCACTCTGGAGATGAAATATCACACGGATAATATTACGCTAAGAACATCATCTTAAAATTCAGATTTAATGGAAATAAAGGTCAGCCACCTATCAGCTGGACATAAAAGTTACATAAAATGGTACAATATTTGTAAGTATAACTGTGCTCATTTTAAAATATATGGCTGCTGGATAAGAACTGGCTTTCCTGCAGGTAGAAGTTGCTTTGAGGGACTGCAATCCTGATGCATTACAACCTGGAAGTATTTTCATTTTGCTCACGCACCAACCCACGCACGCATGCATGCACCCCACCCTCTCAGAATATCAAGTATTTGTATTGGTCAACTCTTTACTTACATGTTCCTGTATTTTCAGTTCCTGGAACTTGATGAACTTTGACCCCCGGGTCTGCAGATACAGGCGCCCTCCAGATCGGTTGGTGACGCAGTCTTGACTAGGACACATGATCAGCGGCATGAAGACTGGAGACGCAATCTGCAGACACAGAGAAACACTCTGTTGTTAGCAAGGAATGCAGGACAGACAGTGTAGCATACAAGGATGACACTCTTAACAACTTGTGATTACAGCTTAACACTAGAAATGGGATATAAAGTAGACATCTAAAAAATCCAGAAAAAGCAAGCAGTTTAAGTATAATTATAAGATAGCTTAAACTGCCAGACGTTATTTCTTATTTTTTTTCTTTTGGCTAAAAGAATTATAAAAATTTATATAAGTGTTCAGCTCAATTGGGAGGAGGGGGGAGGGGGGTGGCGGCAAATAAGATCCAGCTATCTGGATAAATCAGGAGACTTTCATCTCTAAGAAATAACACTATGAAATAAAGTAGCGAAGAGAATGGTCCATGACATTTAATGTCCACTAGTTGATAACCTATGCTACAATTTAACCTTCCTTCCGAAAGGTGCTTAAAGTCTTATAAAACCAGTTCAGTCTATTGTGATTCACCACAGTAATAAAAGTAAAGGTCAAGTCAACGTCCACTCACAGGCTGGTAGGTTTCTGCCCCACACTGGTCACATGTGTAAGTAGCCACTACCATCATTGGTTTAACTTCAGTTGCCCTGGTAACAATTCCTTTCACAGAGACTAACTTGCCAATGCTGTCTGCCTTCACATCGCGCACACTGACGTGTTTCTGGTTACCAGAAGACTTGAAGTAGATCTCACTAAAAAAGAGAGCATCTGCTATGTAACAGTGCTATGACAATGTGTTAGACGTGACAGTGTGTTAGGTGTGAAATATTTCTGATTACCAGAAGACTTGAAGTAGATCTAACTGAAATACGGAGCATGTTTCAGTGAACACAGTTCGTCATTCTGCAGAATAAGAATGATAAGTATGAATGACTCGATTATATCGCAACTTACTTTAGTAACTGACTGACGACCTGAGACCTTTCACTACATAAATGACCTAGACAGACTAGTCACCTGATCTTTTGTCATATGTCTGGGAATAGTGCCCAGTGCCCCGTCACATGTGTGAAAGGTTAAACCTGAGGATTCTGGTTGAGACCACAATGTCAGTTAGTTGCTAAATGCAAGTTCTAGTATCAAAGTTATTCATATTTATCACAGAGCATGTTCCTTACAGATGGTAATGCTTCATCTCTGAATCAGTTCAGGTTTTAGAATAAATTGAAAGAAGCACCACCTGCTCTTAACGTATAGTATTAATGGTATTATACCATTGAATTTTGACACAATACCTGCAAAAGTACAAAGTAGCCAGCGTCAGAAGACTTACATCTGGAAATCTTATGTTACATAATATCACAATATCCAGACATACTTTTTTACATTCCTTCAATTGAAGAAATACAAATTTTGAATTGTGCATACTTTCCCAATTTTTCAAACAAATCTGCAAGTTTTTAAAACATTTTTCTCTGTCAAACACGTCATTGTTTAGAGCAGTACTTACAATCTCCTCATCAGCTCTGCAGGGTATTTGTTTCTGGCATCTCGTGTGACATCTGATTGGCTGTCTGGATGGTTACGTTGTTGCAGCAGAAGACGGTGCTCAATGTAAACATCTAAAGCATCCTTCACTATTACCTAGTAGAGAAATGTAAACATCTAAAGCATCCTTCACTATCACCTATTGGGAAAATGCAGGGGAGAATGTTTATCCAGTGTGGTGTAAGTTCCATCTTTATTGGTAAATTAAAAAGATGAAAATAGAGTAATATTTTTAAATGAAATCCCCAAAATTGGCTGCATAGAAATAAATAATTCATAACTTCATTCTACCTTAAACAAATAACTAGAAATGTTTCATTAATGACGTTTCAAGTCTTGAGCAATCTAAATCTACTCCAAATGTATCATCTGAAAAGTTTGGAGAAGTATGGAAATCACACCTTAACGCCTAAATATCCACAGAAAATCCACAGGTATGCCAACAGATAAATCAACAGCACTTTTTATTATAAACTATAAATCAAAGTTAGACCAACTTACATCTTTCTCCTTGAAATCAGGCAGCATGTCTTGCACAACGTCTGCGAACAGATTGGTGTACCGCCTGGTGTTCTCTACGATGGCCTCGGCCAATTCTGGATCATGTTCGTTGATGTCATCTAGGTCAATCGTCAGCGCCACCTGTTCCCTGTGAGCCAGCTTCATCTGGGACAAGAAACATTTTTTGTTTTGTTTTGTTTGACAAAGATATGGACTCATTCATAACACACAGAGAATGTTTTGGGCTACATAGAAAAATTAAGGAGGAAGATAAAGCTTGATGGTTTTCTCAATGGGGATCTAGGGGCCTGCTTAAGGCAAAAGACCAACAAGAAATAACAGATGTGACAATGAAACTATTTTTAAAAACCACAACTCCAATTAACATTGCATAAATATGAAAAGAACAAAACGTGGCCCAAGGCCACATTCCTGTACATCAACAATGATAAGTGTCAGTGGCATCAGTTGACAGTTGACTTCACTCAACAAATACAATACACAAAGCAGCGCACAGTACATACAATGTTAATTAGATTAACTGTTGTTAATACCAGTGCCAGAGATGTCCACAGTACATACAATGTTAATTAGATTAAGGCTGTATTCCCAGAGCTTTTAGATCGATCTATCCCCGCGGGGAGTCTCACTAGATTACTTTCAGATAATCCGGCTTAAATGTCCGTCCCGCCTACTACAAGCTGTAAGGGGGTAATTAACTTTCGTGTTCGCTCGGCTGACAGCTATTTAGCGTGAACCCCCAAGGAGTTAGGTCGATCTAAAGTAGATCGATCTAATCTCTGGAAATGGGGTCTTACTGTTGTTAATACCAGTGCCCGAGATGCGTTCACTTACCAGCTGACTGCAGTACTTAAAATTTTTTCCGCCATCCTCTGCATAAAACTCAGATAAGAAGGTTTTGATTTTATCTGAAGAAAAAATTGAAGTTCAAGCATGGGTAAAGTTTTCAACTTCTTTAAAGTTTTCACAATCCCCCACATCCATACATCACAAAAAGTACCCCCCCCCGAAAAAAAACAAAGAGAAACCATGCATATATCATATATAACACAGATTCAGAATCTTTCTTGATAAACACCTTTGCATACAAGGTACAATCAATGACAGCACAACTATAAAAGAGCACACATAAACATATTGATGTGTGTGTGTGTGTGTGTGTGTGCGTGTGTGTGTGTGTGTCATGCACCCACGTATACACTACACTACTGGACTGAACTATTTGCTTAGCTATGTCTCTTACCAAATGACTCAGGCCAATCACAAAAAAATTAAGTATCTCTGCACTTAAACAATGACAAAAATAAAATAACAGCTTCTCGATACGCTCAGAGTACTTGTCTAGCTGTTGATGATACACCAGACCAGCGGCAGTTTTCCCGCCTGTCTTAGCGTGGGATAGGGTATTTAATTTTTAAAGGTCCTACTTGGTAACACTACAAAAGTGAGTTTTCATTTCCAGAATAGCAAATCTACCTACCCTTTTCAGCGGCGTAGTCTCTTGGAGGCATGTTCAGAGGTTTTTTTGGTGATCGGTTGGCGTTTCCTCAGTTTTAATGACGCTGTTTTCTTGTTGATGTCTACAAAGGTTCTTAGCCAACTTGGAAAACGGCGCGAAACACTAGTCACGTGACTCTTGGAACTAGGGCGCGAGATGTGCCAATAAATAAATAAATGAGAGAAAAAACTGCAAAATAACATAATGCTATTCGAATTATGTAGTAAAATTAAGCAGTAAAATGTTGTTTTAATTACTTGATTTTCGAAAAAATTAAAAAAATAACCGTCTGTCCTTACTGTCACGAATCTTCTCGTCATGGCAGAGAAATAACGAGATCATGGTGAGTAGTGAAACTATTTCACAAGAAGATCAAAATAAAACTTGTTTATCACTAATCAAGACCATTGTACTCACGAGAGACTATTTCTTAGTTATAAAGAATATTTTCCCCTTTGTAGCATAAGCTGAAATCGTCGCAAAAAGACAAAGTACGGCAATTTATTGCCTTCACTCAGTCTGGCGAGAAAACTGCTATCAACTGTCTGACAGCCCACGACTGGAAACTGGACGTCGCGGTGGACAACTATTTCCAGTTCCCCGAACGCTACAACAGAGAGCCAAAAGGGACGATAGACAGAAAGAAAATAGAGCAAATATTCAATAGATACAAAGGTAGGTACTAAGTTAGTATGGGCTTGGAGTAAGTGGCTAGATTTTCTATTATCATAGTCAGCCAGTTCAGTGGTGTGACGTTAATAAATACAGGTAAGGTTTACATACTAAAATTTCCATTGCAAATTATCATTATCAAAAACCTGTACAAAATTTAGAAAATAACAGTTCCATCCATAGTGGTCTGTTGATTTAATATACACACTTTGACAACTTGATGTAGCATCCATTTTGTGCTCAGTCATGTGGTGTATATTTAGCTCAACAAATATAAATGAATTAGTGTGTGTTTCATCAGTATGCCTTGACTTTTTTATTGACATTGATGCATCACATATTTATGGCAACATACTGCAACAACTGTTTTCACAGAACCTTTTTTATAGTGAAAAACTGTGCTGTTAGTCCCTGAAGTTGTTATAAATTATACTGAAATATGTCTTTAATGTTGTGTTAAAAGCTGCCATATATCAAATAAGTATCCTGTGTTGTGTTTCTTATTTCCTTCTGTAGTGCCTGGCCAGGGTTGGCCCAGGCTCAGCAGCTCAGTTGGGAGAGCAGGCGCATGGTTTGCAAGAGTCCTGGATTTGAATCCCAGTCGAGCCTGGTGTTTTCTCTCCCCCCCCCCCCCAAAAAAAAAAAATCACTAGACTTCCATCATCAGTGATTACTAACGTATATTGAAATTCTCTCTTCCAGATCCCCATGAGGAAGATAAAATCACAGCAGAAGGAATGCTCAAGTTCTTAGAAGAATTAAATCTTAACCCGGAGAGCCGAGTGGTTTTAGTCTTAGCCTGGAAGTTTCACGCAGCAGTGCAGTGCGAGTTTACAAAAGACGAGTTTATCAATGGAATGACCGATTTAGGGTAGGTATAACCCCTCCAAAATTTGTCTCATTTAACACTCACGGTTCCCAATCTGTCCTAGAACATAATGTTTTTCTCTTTTAATGAGAACTGTTACATTCATTACAGAACAAAAATAAAACTTAAAAAAAAAAAAATAAAAATAAAAATACATCAAATGTACTAGATTAGATTGAGAACCATAAGTGAACATTAAATGAGACAAATTTTTGCAGGGGAATTCAAGATATGATAAATTTGAGTTATTTTTGGTGACATTTTATGGTTTTCATTTGTTAAAATGATCTAAATAATTACATCTTTTTATTACTTCAACAAGAAGTAAATTAGGGACTTAAAAGCACAAGTATGTGTTTTCAAGATCTTACTCTTTGCTCCTTTAAGATGAAGAAATAAACTAAGCAATTGCACCTATTTAAAATCTTATGTTGACATAGAAAGAAACATTAAGAAAGTGGAATGAATGAAAAAAGATATTACAGCAGTGAAAGACCCTAGTAACTCTATATTTGAAAGGAAGACGTAACCATGTATATTTAATTTCTTAATAATTATTATTCATTTTCAGGTGTGATAGCGTAGAACGTTTAAAACATAAATGCCAGAGTCTGGAATTGGAGATCAGAGATCCTGCAAAATTCAAAGATTTTTATAATTTTACTTTCAATTATGCCAAAAATCCAGGTCAAAAAGGTTTAGGTGAGTTGTCCTTTTTTTATTATTATTATTATTATTATTATTATTTTTTTTTTTTTTTTTTTTTGTTAAATATATTATGCAATCTCTTCATGATTGCAAAAGCAACTGTTTGTCATAGGTAAAAAATATAGATAATTTATGGTAAGTGGTATTTTCTACAAATGATTGTCCTGTGTTAGTCTGTTGACTATTTTGATATACATCAGAGGAAGAACTGACTCTCGTTGATTACAAAACTGACAAACATTTGTTCCATTTTCTAAATTTTTAATTTGCAGACCTGGACATGGCAATAGCATACTGGAACATTGTGCTCTCAGGAAAATTCAAATTTTTAGACCTTTGGGTACAATTTTTACAGGTGACAAAACTTCAAATTCAAAGATTGTAAGGAATCAGTCCTTAATTAAGACAGCTTTAAAGAAATATCCAAAACTTAGTAAACTTAACCATAGAAAATATAATGTTTTGTTTTGCAAATGAAATATTAAGAATAAGTCAGTACAATTGATTTAAGCAGTGTACCACTGTATTATTAGTTTAATTTTTTTTATCAGGAACACCATAAAAGATCCATCCCTAAAGACACCTGGAATCTGCTGCTAGACTTCAGTAACATGATTGCTGATGACATGACTAATTATGATGAGGAAGGTAAGGGGGTCTTTTACACAGTCACAACTGACGTATTGGCACATCCAGCACACTGTCACATCTAACACACTGACACATCTAACACAATGTCACACCTAACACAGTGCCAAGTTCAGTGTATTGTAGCATAAAAGATGTGAAATGTATTAAAATAGCACAGCCTAAAGCTACTCCAAGCCTATCTTACCACTGTTGTTCTGACGTCAAACATCTGTGTCACTTCCAGGGGCGTGGCCAGTGCTCATAGATGACTTTGTAGAATTTGCTCGACCGCAGCTTGATGGGGGACACAGGAGTACTACAGTATAACACTCTGGAATCCCCTCCTAGAATATTGACTGAATCCTACTGGAATCCTTTATAATGGCAGATCCTTTCATACAATCAATAATCATAATTGATAATGGACTTAGTTACCCCTGTGAATGAAGCTCCGTGCCCCTTGAAGTCAGAATGGCTGTGGTGGTGAAGACATCATGTCAACTGCAAATTTTGTAGGATATTTTGCTTGTAAGGTACTTTAAAAAAATTGCAAAGTTGGGCGAATTGTATGTGGAAAGATCTATGTGTGTAGAACTGAGTCCCAGGAGTTCAGGTGATGAAGTAAACCACTGACTCAGTTCAGCTTTCACCAGCAGATGTGTGACCAGTGCCAGTCTCCACACACATGTCTTAGCACATGTGATAATGAAGAACAGAACATTTCTGTGATACACATGTACTCCATTGCCATCACGTGATTTCTACTAGGCTTAGAGAAACCTAGGCTTAGAAATGGGAATGTGTTAGAGAAGCTTGGCTTGGAAACAGGAATGTGCTAGAGAAGCCTTTGTTAAAGAGGAGGAATATGGTGTAAAGCAAAATCAGCAGGGAAATAATGCTGTGTTGTGGAAGTCATGATAAGAAAGAGGAATGAGAATGTGCCAGAGGAATGCAGTAGAGAAGCTGTGGTTGAGATTGAAAATGTGCCAGAGAACATCAGCACATTGAGAGCCCACTTCTCAGGAGACAGGTTTTAGCTAATAGGTTCTGCAAGGCTTGTCCATGATTTCTGTAAATTTCTCATTTATTGGCAGATTTTGTATATACAAGACTGGCTTATGGAATTTGCAGCCAAATGGTTAAATAAAAGTAAAATACATTTACAAAAAAAGCCCTACTGAATTTTTGTCTAAGATGGTCTCAGGCTATTATTTAGTAATAATTCAAGATTTTGTTTTTTAACAAATGTCAAATTTTTAACTAATCTTATAAACTGCATAGAAAATTATCTCTAGAGGCACAACCAAGATTTATTCTTTGTCATTTTCAACAAGTTAAAAAAGGATCCCTCGCGTTAAAATTGTTATGTTTTGATTCCTGACAAATATTTAAATATCTGTGGGAGGGAGGGAGGGGGGGGGTCGAACAGTGCCTTTTTATTTGTTGTAAAAGGTCCACGCTGGATAACATTTGATCAAGATATGCGAAGGATTCGTGGTAAAAGAGCCCCCACCCTGCTTTGAAATTGCTTGTACTTGGAATATAGCACATTTGTCAATCAAATTTGTTCTGATGAATTTGAGATTTTGAATTTGGATCGAAAACACCAGTTTGAGATGAAATGTTAAATTAACATTTGGTATTTTTATGTAGAAAGTAAACTGGTGAAGCATGGATAGTCATAGCCTCAATTAAAACCCCCCTCCCCCAAATGTGGGTCATGTGCATCTAACTCAGTTCTTAAGACGTGATAGGAGTAACAATCACCGTTGAAATGCAGCAACTTATAGTAGGCAATTTTTGCATAAGTTGTGAAACTAGAAATGATGTTATGTCAATGTGTCGTAATTTGAGCGTGCTGGAGGTGCATTACGTAGGAAGAAATGTCAAGAGCCAGGCTCCAGTACGGCCATAGTTACGAAATGGCGCAAGAGTAATCGGACATGCAGTATCTTGCAAACATATTTTTAATTAGTGACATAATTTTACTGCAATGAACTTCCGTGGCATTCAACCCAAATGTTATTAAAAAGGGAATGTTATCTGTGGCCGTTTTTTTTTTTTTTTTTTTTTTTTTTTTTATATCTTCTCCCCATAGCAGGTTTGATGTTAAACATTACACCTAGATGCTGGTCTGCTTGATAGGGGTGTGTTCCATGTTATGAAATATATTAATTAGAAATATTCCTCAGACGTTTTGTTTTTTCTCTCCGTTTTATTTATATTGTTTTTTTTTTTAGATTCTCCAGATATGGTTTCTTTACTGTCTGTTGTCCAATGGAACCAAATATGTTTCAATGCTGACAAATAAAACAGAATAAAATAACGTTGACCAGCAGTTTAATAATACTTCGCGAACAGCATAATCATTATTATTATTATAATAATTATTAATATTATTATTATTATAATAGATATTTTATACAGCTTTTCAGTTTTGGCCTACCATGCCCTCTCCATATTTTATTACACACTTAACATACTTAATTAACTTAATCATTCAGAAATCATGAAAACAGCACAAACTGATAGGTGCATAGTAGTCCTACGTACCTAAGGACTAAGAGACTATCGTGCTAACTTTGGATCAATCTATCTCCAAGGGGATTCTCACTAAATTTCTATCAACTTAAGCAGCTTAAATGTCTGTCACACCTACTAAAGCTGTTAGGGAGTAATTAACTACTGTAGGTCAAGAGTGCATGAAAGTTAACTCTCCAGCCGATTCGGTAGCCGTGACAGCTGCTTAAGTTGATAGCAATTTAGCGTGAATTAATCCCCATGGAGTTAGACCGTTCCTGTTGGATCAATCTAGGCCTGCAAACCTAGTCTAAGACTTTTTCACAAGATATTCACAGAAATTCCTCTGGCTAATTCTGCTTGTGTCTGCACAGCTGTCATTTATAGAGAAGAGGTGCACAGGTAGATGTTAAGTTACTGCCTCTCCCCCCCTTACACACACACACACACACACACGCACACATGTACACACGCACACATGCACACACACACACTGCATAGAACATTAACAAGAAAAAGGGCAATATAAGGGAACAATTATGAGATTTATTTCAAACAGTGAGTGGTACACAATGGCCACATACTACAGTTTAAAAGGTGCAAGGATGCTTGTCTTGGACTAAATTTTGTATAAAATGGGTACAGTGATTATGTATTTAATGTGTTGGGTGTGCTTCTCAAAACATGACTTTCAAAACATCTGTTAATGAAGGAATAAATATAAAAACAGCAGCACATATTTTAATTTTAGAATATTAATGCTTTTACATGTATCATTTCATTACAGCAAATTTTAATCACTCAGTAAAGGAATGAATCTGTGAATGAAATGAAAAAAGCAATGATGATAGTAAGTGAAGTAGCTGTAATATGGCTGACAGTAATCAGAGATGATTATTTTTCTGTAAAATTGGGGCTAGCAACACATGTTGTATCACATACAGAGGCAACAGCAGCATGTGGAGGAAAAATAATAATAACAATGTTAATTTTTATAGTGAGTGGAGAAAAAGATTAGGTTTTGATCCATATTATCTGAAAAGAAATCAAAATATTTTCAGGACAGAATGACAGGGTTTTTTAACTTTTCCTAAATAAATATAAATATCAGATTTAAAAAGTTATTAAAATGCAGTCTGGTATTGATGGAAGAAAACTTGAATGCGTTCTAGCCTAAAAAATGTATTTTCCTGGAGTAAACAACAATTTTCCCATACTTACTAATGGTTAATGAATCCATTTTTACAATCAAAGTTAGTTCCTGTTTTTTTTTTTTTTTTTTTTTTTTTTTTTTTTTTTTTTTTTTTTGTCATAAAACTCTTAAGAGTATAGCCATCAATGGAGGTCACGTGGTCTAAAGACAAGCTCAGATGTCAGAATAATAGCTATAACTGCTGTTTTTGTGGTAAAACAGAATATATTATATTTCTATGAGTTGTTTACAATGTTTTTATTGTGAAATATAGATCTCATACAAAGAGTTATTATCCCTTTAAGCTTTATATATTCAGGTCATTAACATAGTGTATGTAGCAGGCTGCATATTAGATAAAGAAGATTAAAAATGCACAATGAGATGATGGAAAAAAGAGTTGTCAATATACATATTATTAAACTTCAAAAGATTAAATTTTATCAGAGGTATGAATAAAACTCTACTTATAAAACAGTATAAAAAACACTAATTTTAACTTTTCTCGCACAGAATGCGTAATCACGGACTTTTTTTTTGTTTTAGTGGCCTGGCATGCCTTTTTCCCCACAATTTTTTTCTAGTGGCCTGAGATGCCGTTTTCCGCCATTTTCTCCGCTTCTTCAAAAGCGAGCCAGTCTCAACCGCCTCGTGGTCAGGGCGGACGTGTATGTGCAGCAGTACGCTCGGTATTTGAACCATTTATAACATGTAATGATGTTTTCTTCGGCACTGGGATATGTCTACCGAAGCTGTAGTAGACACGATTTTGTAGGTAGAGTAGCTCAGTGTTTTGCACAACCGTCACGATGCCATCAACCGCTGCGGTTTACATGCGCCGTTTCACAACTCCGAAGTCCTCGGAAGACGTGGGGTTGGTCGTTGGGGAGACATGTCGGCGGAATTAACCAGTCATACTCTACAATGACCATCACGAAACATGTTTATAACAGAATCATTAGAAAGAGCCAAATAGAATTTATAAATAAAGCAGAGTGGGATATAACGCAAGATGGAAGGAACGAAACGGAGATTATCAGTGATTACGAGAACAGAGCCAGTAAGGCCGATAATGACCTTGACGGAGAGATTCTGTACATATTTGCTGTCGGTAGTCTTTTGAGAGATTCACCTAAATCTCAAAACACTCATCTTCCACAAGATGACAGGATATCATCAGCCCTGCAAATCATCCTCAACAAAGGTTTGATGGAGGGAAGTTCCTCGAGTCAGTTACGCAGATTATTGTTAGTTGGGGCCAGAATTCATCAATCTCCAGAAGTTCTTCAGTTTAGTAAGGAACTGGAGAGAAACATGTCACAGGTATGGTCCGAATGGCCTTTTAAGTCTAAGATACAAACCTGCAACGGGTGGTTTCGTTTGTCTGCAATACACAGGCAGAAATACTTCGAGGACCAGATCCGAATTTTCTTAAAGCACATGAGAGAGGCAAAGCTTGGGTGTGAGGAACCTGGACGCAAAAATATTTACCAGCTCCTTCATGTTCTGTCCAGTGTAACATACTATTCTAAAGCACTGGGTGGAAGATGGGCAGATGAAAACGATGTTGGATTATTTTTACAGAATTTGGAATCGTGGTATTTTGACATGGATTTAGAGCCAAAAGAAGTGGACAGTTATGTCAGCCTCTGTCACAGTGTTGATTATTTGGTGCCTTCTGACATTTTATGGAAGATGTTAAAGATTCTCCAAAAAGCAACACTTTGTGAAGAAGTTGGAAAAGACAACAATGCATATCTGTGCATTAAAGACATGTTGGATTTAGCTCAAAAGCAGGAGTTGAATAAAGATTTCATGTACATACAATATGTTACAGAACTTGCAGAAGTATTTAGAAGCAGACATCTTTGTCATTGATGCACCAAATTGACATTACATGGAAATTTAGTTTAGTGCCGTATTGTGATCATGAAATGATTTTGAAAGTTTTAAAGAACTTTGTGCCAGATGAACAAGACAGCAATGACAACAATGTTTATAAATTAGTTACTGCTTACTATATGGTGGATTGTAATCCAAATATTACTTTTGTAGAAACGGTGAGAGATTTAATACAAAACCAAGGAAAAAATCTCTCCCCTTTCCAATTACTTTCCATTGCTCACAATTTGATATGCCATCATGGCTATCGTGAATTCTTCAGTGAAATACTAGATTGTGTTTTTGAGTCTGATCTGATGAAGGAAGAGTTCTTAAGTGAGCTGAGCCCAGGAAGGATTAAAATGATTCTAGAGTTGTGTGGAAGGTTAGAAATAGAACAAATTGACAGATATGTTAAGAAGATTCCACCCAGCCTCTACAAGGTATGTGGTGTTCAAGTCTGTGCAGAGAAATTGAAAACAAATTGCCAGCTGTCCTCAGTGAAGGCTGTTTTAGCAGCTGTGCAGATGAATCTTGGTGGTTCCCACATGTCAAGAATCATGCCAGTACTTCCCATATATCTTCCTATTGTGGAGTGCTGTTTGAATGAAGTGAATGAGCCTGTAGACATGGAGCTGGTGCCCAGGGTTTTTGATGAAAGTGGATTCCTCAAAGTGGAAAACTTGTCTGCCCTGCCTGAAGGTTGGAGAAGAATAGCAGTACTAGTATTGCCTTCACAATATAAACATCTCTTTATCAACAAGCCAGCGTACACTGGTGAGTTAAAATGTTGTCCTGCTTAAGATAACATCCACTGATGTCGGGTGCAGAAATTAATTTTTAGTAATTAATTTTTTTTTATTAGTATTTTTTAGGTGTTCTCACATACTTCACTGGGGTAACAGTATTAGAGGCCATCTTAATTTGAATGTGTTATATGTTTGGTTAAAGTGATTAAGATTTGAATAGATTTCCCAAGTTTATGTTAATTTTTCATTACATTAAGGCACATGTTTTTTAACAGTAATAGTATTGGGTATTAATTTATGATTCATGTTTACATTGATTTGTATTTTTTTCTTCATCAGGTGACTTTAAGGCAAAGCTACGCTTCCTAGGACGTGCAGGATACCAAAAGGTTGTACTGGTTACTAAAGTTCCGATGGAGGAGAAGTTACACAAATGTATAAGGGATATATTGAAAGAAATCCCTGATATAAGGTGAGGAAGTAGCATTATAAATGATGAATAAAAATACTGTGGTTTGTAAAAGGTAATAGAACCTTGTTGTTATGTTTATTATCATTGAAAAAAAAAGAATATATATATATATATATATATATATATATATATATACCGATTTTTGTAAAATTATTACTTTATTTTATTCTTTTGGAGGCAGGGTCCTACCTAANATCAGTGATTGCGAAAGCCGTCGGACCACGGCCATATGCCGGCAAAAGTTCTGTGGGCTGGAAAACCCTTTTAACTCATCGGCCCACATGTCCGACGGACTAAAGTCAGTTTCTTTAACATACACCTCGCCTCATATTTGAATTTATCGTAAAGCTCTAAGTACGCACTATTCGCAAGTAAAACTTTAACTTGCGCCATACTGGCGCGTTTTGTAATAAAGGTCTGCGTACATTATGATGTCGCTTGAAGTGTGCGTAGCGATGGTGTGAGGGCTGACATGTGACCCGTTTCACAAAAAAATGTATCGAAACTGAAACAACTACAGGTCAATGAAAAACGTACTGCTCAAGACTCTGAAAACAGGCCGCTCAAACTGCTTACGACTGGCCACGCGCGGACCTCTGAGAACACCTAACTACACGTGCTGGGTAAACAAGTATGGCTTCCGTCGGACTGCATGTTGACTAAACGATAAGTGAAATATTCATTTGCTTTTTAGATGGGTGCTCTTAACTAATTTTAACGGATATTTTAAGTCATATTGCGCCTTTAGCGGTGCTATATGTCAAAATGAGGGACAACATCATTTTCCATGCGGAAAATCCGCAATGGCACAGTCAGGGTGCAAAACTGTCCATTACAGTATATTCATCTAAACTTTAGTCTTAGATATTGAATAAAAATTATTTTCAGACTCTGGCCCGTAGCCAGGGATGGTTCAGGGGTTTCGAAAGAACCGCCTCTTATGCTGACAAAAGGTCCACTCTTGGTAAAATTTGATCTAGGTACATGGCGTTTTTGTGGAAAAAGACCCCCCCCCCCTTTTAAAATTGCTGGCTACGGGCCTGCTATGAGAGCAATAGCTTTATTTTACAATAAAAATGGGATTTGTCTACCTTTTCCATGTAGTGCAATTATTTGGCATAGTGCAATTATCAATTCTGAAGATTTTTCCATTAAGTACTGTACAATTTTTCAGACAGTATGTTTATTTTGGAAGATTTTTCCACACACTACAATTATTTAGGACTTCAGAGTAGTAGCATTAAGCCTTTTTTCATTGATTTTAATCATATAAAAAAATATTGAAATACAATGAATTTTCTTTAAATAATTCACGGCACACATTTTTAAAAAATGGCACACTTTTTTTGACCAAGTGGGCCAAAATGGCCCGACCAGATTTTGACCCAGGACAATCCCTGCTAACAGACAAGCATTTTTCCAAGAGTGAAAATCTAAAAAACGTTACAAAAGTTGGAAGCTCCACTTCACTATGACTTATGTTTTAATTTAAGTCAAAAATTGGAATAAAATTTACAAAGGATACATGATCTTGTGTTAAAAGATTAGAAATTAAGATAGGCAACCTAGATGTAAAAAGGATAAAACTTAAATGCCAGAAAGCAACCAAAATGAAAGACGTTTAAACTTAAACCTTTAAACATCCTATTACATCTGGCCTGAAAATTAAAAAACCAACGATTTAAAATGCCAGACAATAATATTCATCAAAAATGAAGTGAAAATATACAGCTTGATTATTTTGTTGTGGGCCGGTAAAAAAAGGTGTGGGCTGACAAAATTTAATTTGCTCCAGCCCACATGTCTGGTAAGTTTTCAATCTCTTTCGCAATCACTGCAGTATTGGGTATTAATTTATGATTCATGTTTACATTGATTTGTATTTTTTTCTTCATCAGGTGACTTTAAGGCAAAGCTACGCTTCCTAGGACGTGCAGGATACCAAAAGGTTGTACTGGTTACTAAAGTTCCGATGGAGGAGAAGTTACACAAATGTATAAGGGATATATTGAAAGAAATCCCTGATATAAGGTGAGGAAGTAGCATTATAAATGATGAATAAAAATACTGTGGTTTGCAAAAGGTAATAGAACCTTGTTGTTATGTTTATTATCATTGAAAAAAAAAGAATATATATATATATATATATATATATATATATATATACCGATTTTTGTAAAATTATTACTTTATTTTATTCTTTTGGAGGCAGGGTCCTACCTAATTTGAATAAAGGGGATTTTTGGGCAAAGCATACACTGCATTAATTGCATAGCTGACAAAAAAAGTCGTCTTTGTTTTGAAATCTAATATTGCAAGCTATTTACCCAAAAATATATAAATTGAGTTGACTTAGTTCGGTTTATAGGAGTAAAAGCTATTTTCAAAACAATCGCTAATTTTAATGTGCTTACTTAAAGACCATTCTGTGGTATTCGGTCTACAGACCTTGATATTTCAGAACATACTCCTACTAACAAAATTTTTAATTTCTGAATCCTGAAACCTCTAAATACCAGAATACAAAATAAAATTAAGGATGTGATGATTAATTATGATTTCTGGAACAATTGTAAAATATTGCTTATGAAGACATTTTTATTTTTGATGTAGTTGTCTAGATATTGAATATTTTTCAATAATTAAGGCTAAAGACATCAAATATAAGTTATTTCTTTATTTAATTAGGAAATAGTGGATTAATTAATATCAGTTTGTCCTTCCCAGATGATTTTGGTTACTATATTTTAGGTTTTCTCAGTAACTGAAAAGACTAAAAACTTTTTTACTTCACATTCCCCTCAAACGTGCTCTTCACATTATCAGAATATCCATGATACTTATTATTGTGTCTGTGCATATAGTCTGTGCCAAAAACTTATACTGCTAGCCCTTTGGGCAAGCAGGGTCTAAACATTAACTAGCCCGAACCATAAAATACTAGCCTGAATGATAATAATTCATTTAAACAGTTTAGTTGAAGGGGATGTTGTAAAGAGTTGAAGTATCAAACTAACTTTAAACCCTTATCAGGTGAATAACAAAGTCAATCGGATTGATTAAAAGTGGGTTGGCTTTGGTAGGGTTTTATTCAGCTGAGAGGCTAAATACAAGCTGGGTACATCAAATATGAGTCAGGGAAGAAGATTGGCAGTTAATATTTTGAACATTTTGCTGAGAGGTAAAATAAACTCAAAATTACTACAGCTAGCCCATTTGGGCTAGTGTTTTAGAAAATTTAAAATTGTTTACTAAGCTGATGCCACTTTAGGTGGGCAGTTGCCTCGGGCTAGTGCTTAACATTGTATACTTCATCCTTTGCGTCGGACATCGCCAACATAATTGTCATGCACTTTCAATGATAACATCATAAGAGGAAAACTGTTCATATAGTACAGATCCATTTCGAAAATCATCTTGATTGGACCATTTTTCTGAAAGTTATGCACCTTTTTTATTGATGTTTCCATCATATATGCAATACATATAGTAAACATTTCTTGATAAGACCATTTCTCCAAAAGTTATGCAGGTTTTTTTGTTTTCATGTACAGACACAATCAGTACATGTATATAGCCATCACCTGTGTCTTTCATTGCCTCCATTTCCATGCACTTTCAGTGATAACATGATTAGTGGAAAAATGAAATACATCTCAAGTTTGAAGTTCGGCTTGATAAGACCATTTTTCCAAAAGTTGGGCAAGCAGGGTCTAAATTTGTTAACCATTGCAGTTTTTCAGACTCAATCCTTCACTATGTTCATATTTTCAGAGTGGAGCCAATTAGACATAAAAATTGTTTTACTATTTCTCGACAATTATCTTAGTTGAACATATAAAATGATAGTAAATTGGTTATTTTGTATTATGTAAAAAAAAATGTTTAAAATGGACAGTTTTTCCTACTTTATGTCTGAAAATTTGACAGTTTTGCTGCCTTGTTTCAGTATATTTTGAAAATTTAAGGCTAAACTTCACCGAAGCCGAAAGAGTTATGAGAAAAGTTACATTAGATGTCTGACCAAAAGTCATATGTGGAAATATAGCATGTGGTATGCTTTGTAGCTGTACAGTTTTGCTCTAAAATATTGATATTGTTTTATTACTTTTTTTAAAGGTTACCAGATAATTAGGAGACTTTTGGAGTGTTTCATGACAAGATTGAAGAGGATTGGGCAACTCTCTGCTAACATTGACTGTTGAATGTCAATCTTAAACCAAACTCAATGTAGTGATGTGCTGTTACCATTAGGACTTCCATCAAATAACACAATTCTGTGGATACGTGTGCCTTTTGCTGGGACAGAATAACACTAGGCAAGGCATTGTATTATGCTTCAAATCTGTTGGGCAAAATTTGACTTAAAGTCACAAATGCCAGTGACTGGGACAATAATGTACATTTAATCTGTCATTCTGCTCAATTTAGTTAAACAGAATACAAAACTAAAATCTCCTTTTGTACATTACTGAAGACATTTGTTCCACTTGTGTAATTTGAAATGTTTATTTATCATTGTACAGCCTGTTGTATTTTTTTAATTGTGACAATTGTAAAGTTAAAGATAAGTGTAGCTTAGATATTTGAAGTATATAATCAAAGTGCTATACATGATGTCTATGTTATTATTATTTCATTGCATAACAAATTTTACAATCACTTAATATGGGAAGTGCTGAAAATGAGTTTGTAAATAAAATAAATTGTTAATAAAATTTCTGCTTGAAGTAATAATAGTAATGATAATAGACTTACCATGTCAGACAATTTAACTGATTACATTGACTGCACTAAAGCTATAATCCCAGCAGAGTTAGATCGATCCAGCTAGAATGATGAGTAACTTGATGGGAGTCAAGTTACTCAAGGTGACAGACGCTGTTCGTTAAGACCCAGTGGTAGGTGACAACCAGAGAGTCTAGGTACTCAAGGTGACAGACGCTGTTTGTTAAGACCCAGTGGTAGGTGACACCCAGAGAGCCTAGGTAGTCATGGTGACAGACACTGTTTGTTAAGACCCACTGGTAGGTGACACCCAGAGGGTCAAGGTAATCGAGGTGTAACACGCGTTTGTTAAGACCCACTAGTAAGATAAGCTACAGAATTTGAAGATAACCCAATTATGCATAAGTATTTTTATAATTTTTGTGTGATTCTGTGGCGCAAAACAAAATGCTTTTAACAGGTTTGATGATGAACAGTTTTTTATTAGTTTTCAGACTAAATAACAATCATTGCCCATGTTTTTGCCCACCACAATGGAAAATAACGTTTTCATTGCCGTAAGCTATTCATAAGCTATATTAGAGAAAGAATATTTGTTATAATGTTCATCCCAATTATCAGTTATATTCACCGTGTCTGCCTCAAGCTGGACTATCCTGCAATTCAAAAGTGGAATGTACAACAATACTCAATTCTATTATGGGCAGTTCCGGAATACTTAAACAGGAGCAGTAGTCCACCTTGAATTGTCTCCAAGGGGGCATTCACAACCATTTGATCCGTGGACTAACAGATGTGGCTGGCTCACTTGAAAGCCCTCTAAAATGTTGCATAGTCCTGAAATTGAATAGATTCCTTGCTAGAATTATGGGGTGAGCTTTTCAGAGTTTGTCGGCCATATTTGATCAGCGGGTCTGTTAGAGGCCATCCAGAATAGAAGATAAAGGATCTACGGATCAAATATGGCCGACCCCACATGAAAGAAGAGCCAACCAATCCGTTGATGGTCTTCCCGCCTCCACACGCGCAGTCCTTCCATTGGTCTAGCAATCTTAACCCTTCGAGCTGTGATTTAATCCGTCCAATGGCGCGTGTGGAGGCAGTGAGTCCGTCAGCAGATACGCCGGCTCTTCTTTCATGTAGGGTCTGCCATAATTGATCCGTGGATCAGTAGATCATCGGATGTTATGTTCTGAATGGGTTCTTAGTCTGTAGATCAACTGGTTGTGAAAGTGGCCATGCAGCTACTGATTAATTCATTGTCAAAAATAAAGAATTCAGTTCAAGTGAAAGCTTTACGTATAAGACCAAAACAGTTTAATGTCAGTGTATCTTATAGACTTTCTCACAAAATTTGCATGAAATTTGAATCTTCTCGGAATTATTATTTTTATTACTGAATAAAATGTTAAGGTTCAGGTATCCTTATCCCACCAAATGCCAGCACAAAATCACTTCTCATTCCAAAACTGCTGCAATAACTTAAAGATATGACACTTGAGTTATGCAACCTTCTTTGGCGGAAAGGATCCCCAAAGATACCTCCCTGAGGACTGCTTTGCATCAGCAAAATAACCCAAACCGTTTTTTACGTATTCCTTCTCATCCAAGTAGCCATCATCATCGCTGTCAAAGATGTTGAAGGATTTTGGAGCCGTCTCTGGGTCCACGCCGAAGCTTTGCAGAAAAGCAGTGTAGTCTGACAAGTCAATCAGTTGGTTCCCGTGAGAGAGGACCAGTTTAAACACTTCTTGAAACCAGGCCTCGCCGTGTTCTGGAAAGTGAGGCACGGTGAGGTATCTGGACTGCATTTTTATCACATCCTCCACGGTAAGATTGTCATTCTTTTCTCGGGTGACGAAAAAAAGTCCCAAGTTGAATGCCATATGGCTTTAAAAACGGACGCTTCGTTTCTACTTAAGTATTGATCCATTCTGTTGGGAATTATACCCAGAAATTCATGTTGCGTTAGCACGCCGTCCAGGTCGTCATCTAGTAAGTTGAAAAAGTAGCGCATCTTGCGGGTCCAAAATTTAGGCAAGTTGTCAATATCAGTCTGTATTAAAGAAAAAAAGTAACATGTATTAAAGTAGTTTTGTACACAATAACGAAATCGTTAACTGAAAACCGAGTATTTTAAATGGCCAAATATAGCATTGATTGCCGCAAGGGGTGAACTTTGGCGCCGTATATCTGCTGTCAGTAGGCTTGAACCACATCACAGCGAACACAAAAAGGTTTTGGAAGTGTTAACGTGTATATCTTTTTAACATCACAGTGGCGGATTTTGAGGAGTCCCTAACTGGTAGCCAGTGTAATTGCTTTAAAATTGGAGTGATATGGCAATCCCTAGGCTGTAGCATTAAAAGCCGTGCTAAACTAGTTTGATCTTGAATATACCTCATTGACAGGATAGTCTTTGTGTTGACTGCCACCTCCTTTGCCTGCGCTGAAGGTAAAGGACTGGACGGCGACAGCAGAGATTACTACCATGTACACCACGCATGATGACAACATCTCGCTTCACTTCCGGTGGGAATTGATGGACCTTTGAAAACACGTGCTACCGAAGCTATAATCGTTTGCTATGAACACATAGCTCTATATATATACTGTATACGTATTCTTTATTTGCGTGTTTATAACAGAGAGGCAATAGGAAAATGATATTCATTTTGAACAAAGTTACTTTGCGTTATTGTAGTTTTCAGATGTTATTCCAAGATCTACCAAGAATATGCGGGGTTTAAATCTATGTTATTAGGTAAAATACTGGGCGTTGACGTGACAACGCAAACAAACACTGATATTGTTACGCAATTGATTTCCTGTAGTTAAAATACCATGTTAAAGTTACTTTGCATTATGTTAGTTCCGAAAACCGACATGTTTTCTAAGAATTGCAGTAGTCATGCTTGTTATTTCCTATGTTTTAAAGCCATGTAATTATACTGGTAGGTAAGACATATTCATACCGGGCTTGAACGTAGCAATGTAAAACCGAGGCTAACGTGGGGGATTTTCTATCATTAGAGAGTTTTGGCAAGGCCTTCCGTATGACGTGTAACGTATAGTTCAATACGTAATAATACGTTTTACGTACGCAAGAAAGCTAGCAGTGGTTTTGGCAGGTCTCACTCCGTATGCGTTTTTTTTTTTTTTTTTTTTAATATTATTTTTATTTATATTATATATAAATATTATAATATTTGGATTCTTTTTAGATAGATGAATAATTAAGATGTTGAATGGAATGTGTTATTTACGTCAATTGATGCCGCAGATCCTGTTGTTTATGAAAAAAATCAACTTAAATTGAATTTGATACTACTACGGACGACTGATTGACTGGCTGTTTTTCCAGCTGTTTTCACAGAGTATTTCTACCGACAGCGTCTAAAAGTGATTCAGTGGAATCTTAACACCCTATATATTCCTCTGCAGTNCACACACACACACACATTTAGACAAAAGCGGTTTGATTACAGTCACCTTGGCAGTGAAGTCACTCGAGACGGCTGCTAAAATCCGTGGAGAGCCGACAGCTTCCCACTTCCTACGAAATGGCTGTTTGTACCAAATAAACTACTTCATAAATTACCACAAAAGTCATACATACTTCTTTTGCTTCGATCATTTAGGCAGTTCCTAAGTTTGGAGTGCATTTGCATCTCAATAAAAAAGGACAACTTACCAATTTTTAAGAAATGCATGCTAAATACAGTGTTTATTGTTCTGTATTCATACAGCGTATATTCAGAGGTTTATCAGCAAGAATAAAAGTGTTGTGTTGTGCATTCGTAGTTTTTCAGAGAAATCATATTGCAAAGTAAATACGGCCTATGCCAAGGCCATCCAGAGAGAGGAAGCAAAACCGTTTTCTACACTGAAACAAAAATAGATTGTAAGACCATTCCCAGTTGTTCCAGCGACCAGAAGAGAAGTTTCTGCTTATAGATAAACTCGTTTAGCATATGATTTTAAATGGACTTTACCGAATATATAACCTATAATGTCAAGTAAAATACAGATGCAAGGTTCAGTCCGGCAATCAGTTCTCACACATCAACGGTCCCAGGGTGGGGTAGGCTTTCTCTCCAGCGTCACCTGTGTCACCAATTCTCAACCCGGTGATAGGAAGAACGTCCTTGTCTGTCACCAGGCCGCTGTCTTCTCTCCAGACTAGATCATTCATGTCACAGTTACACTTCTTTCCTGTAAACAACAAACCGCAAAAATTGTTAAATTAACAACAGCTCATTACCATACACGAATAAAATTAAATATAAAATGATGACAAATTTGAGTCATACTGCTTCACTCTAAACCGGGGGGGGGGGGGGGGGGGGGGGGGGCTTCGCATCGGCGCCCCCCCCCCCCCCCTTTTCAGATAATCTTGGATCCGCCCCTGATTTATAACATGCTTATGTGAATATAAAACTGCTTTTTTGTCGTGAAAGAAAAAAGTTCAAATATCTACGGTACCTCCTGCGCAGCTTTTGGTCTGGTAACATGCACATCCACCCAACTGCGCATTCCCTCCGGGCCAGTATGACGTCACTTTCTGTCCGTTAGCTATCCAATAAGAATACGTTCCGCTGCCGTTCAATGAAGTTTCAATGATCGCGCCCCGACATTCGTACTTCAGCTGTTGATGACAGGGTCCAGATCTAGCCATCAGTGCCCGGATGTGCTGACTGCTACTGGCGTATGCCACCTCATCTTGACAACATAAATATGACATTAAGCAATGGCATGCAGACTTTCAATACACGGCTATATAATATATTATTATTATTCCATATAAAGAAATAAAGAAGCCTTGAACTTTGCAAAGTATTGTACATGGTTGGAACGTTGGAAACATACACATCTTTCTTTCTACTTAGGATTCAAATGACTTACAAATGTATGCGCCTTTGCCTTCAAACCCGGTTACCAAGGTTCTGTTTTCCTTGTTATGATGAACGACGGCGATAGGTGGCACCAGAGTCATGTCACACCAGACCAAGAAATCCGAGACACCACGGAGACCGNTAGGCCCTACCTCCTGCGCAGCTTTTGGTCTGGTAACATGCACATCCACCCAACTGCGCATTCCCTCCGGGCCAGTATGACGTCAATTCCTGTCCGTTAGCTATCCAATAAGAATACGTTCCGCTGCCGTTCAATGAAGTTTCAATGATCGCGCCCCGACATTCGTACTTCAGCTGTTGATGACAGGGTCCAGATCTAGCCATCAGTGCCCGGATGTGCTGACTGCTACTGGCGTATGCCACCTCATCTTGACAACATAAATATGACATTAAGCAATGGCATGCAGACTTTCAATACACGGCTATATAATATATTATTATTATTCCATATAAAGAAATAAAGAAGCCTTGAACTTTGCAAAGTATTGTACATGGTTGGAACGTTGGAAACATACACATCTTTCTTTCTACTTAGGATTCAAATGACTTACAAATGTATGCGCCTTTGCCTTCAAACCCGGTTACCAAGGTTCTGTTTTCCTTGTTATGATGAACGACGGCGATAGGTGGCACCAGAGTCATGTCACACCAGACCAAGAAATCCGAGACACCACGGAGACCGTCAGGGTCGATCAGATAGTTTCCACTTGTCACGAACCCGTCCCGAAACCAATCAGAACATGAACGACGTGCTAGGTTAAAAAAATATTCATCTATCTAAAAATATTCATACAATCACTCTTCACAGATCTTTCCATCGTTCGACTCGAAATAGAGGCTGATGAATGCCACTCGTGACTGTAAAAGGAAATCTAGAACTCGCAAGAAATTTTTAGAGCTCATACTTTTCTCAGCAGTTTTGGTTGGAACACATCCCTAAAGAGGATATCTTTAGAAAAGTGATTTCCTTCTCTCCATTAAGTTTTTCACTCACCCTGCAGTAGATTCCCTCCAAGCAGCTGCCTAACCTGAAACTCCAAGGAGGCAACTTTGTCTTTCAACGTTCTCACATCATCTTCAACAGAGACTGCAGAAGTGTCGTCACAGCCGTGAAGGAGGGTAAATGTCGCTATCCCAATCACCATGACAACACTGATACCGGTCATCTCTGCGGCTGATCCTAGTACAAATTAAGGTTTTATTTTATCGTACCATAACCCTGGCTTTTGAGGCATGGCATCTGTCGTATAACGCGTGCTGTAGATGAAAGAAACGGAGGAATGTCTCCGACAGGACTCAAAAAATAAGGGTAATTTACCGTCACCTTAGTTAAACATTAAGAATGTCTTGCACACACACACACACACCCACACACGCACATGCCTACCTTTGTAGTCAAAAACTGAACTGAAAATCCTCCGTGCTCAACTGCTGTAATATAACAGACAGGACACCGCAAGGCGACCCTGAAGAGCATTTAGACAACTTCATACAGTATTGTGTCATTAGAAAAACCGCGAAATTTACTATATTTAATTGTGTCCTGTTTGGCTAGTCTCCAAAAAGGATTTGGTTGCTGCCTGGTTCTCATCCGATATCGTTGCCATGGAAACCACCGATTGGTTGTGAATGATAATTTATTACTGGATTTCTCCACAAAATATGGCTGACCACAGTTCAGAAGCGATGCCGCTGTTTCCTGATGGTCTCTCGGACTCCGCACGTGCCTGTGCAAAGATCAATTTTCTAGAAATAATGTTTCGAAACTCTGTGGTATCTCTTCAAATTAAATTATTCGAAACATTATGGCGGCATTTGAATGGGTTTAGTGGCAATGGTTTGGCATAATTACTGGCTTGACATGCATATTGAACTCTTCATACACATTTCACAATCTGAAATTTTATCTGAGCTAATAACCTTGCCGCTATTTTTAAAGGTTTTTGTATATGTGTTGATACATTTCTAGCTTGTTCTTTTAATTTCGGTAAGTTATTCGCTTTTAAGAATAATAGCCGAAACGTCGCGAGAGGTCTTACAGTGAAAGCAACTAAAACCAAAATCACACGGGACAATACTTAAAAATAAAAAAAACACAAAAATTTGAGAGACGTATTTATCCACAACATAATATATTGTATAAACGTGATCAGTTATTATGTTAGATTTGCCTAATATCACACATCAGTTTACGGATATAGGAGAGACGATTCTTTCATAACAACGTAACGACTTTTGTTGACGCTTCTACCAAAAGCAGAGCAAGATTTTTTTTCTTTACTTTCTAAAACTCTGTGGCGGCAAAAGACATCTGAATAGATCTGAACAACTTTTCAACTTTTTAAAGAATAATTTGGTCTAAATAGGCATATCTGACATAATATATTCATACATGTGAGTACTTGTGCTCAGTAAGAAGTATTTTCAATTTTGGTCACGGTTAGTTAGTATGAATGAATTAGAGCCTCGGCAAATGATCAGTACTACGAACTACACAACATGCTTAATTTGACACAATTAACTACGACTTGTACTGCCTTTGTACTCTTGATTAATAAAAAACAACAGTATTTTAATTAAAACGATGTAGCTACAGGGTATCTCTACTCAAGCAAACGCTCACGGTGTCTGGTTTAGAAGTTCATCTTAAGGACAACTATTCCGTGCCAGTCTGGTTTCATGGCCAAAACGTCCGTTTTCTCACTTAGTGTGCTTTGGGATTTCCGTACACAATTTCATAAATTCTTACCCATTCAAGCCCGGCGATTCTATCATATAGACTTAACTAAAAGGACTAAGCAATAATTTGAATTCAAAGTACCAAATATAACAGTCTTTACATTTTTATGGCGGCAAGTCCACAATGCACAACAGGGTGAAAGGCAGAGTTATTGACATTTTTAACTTTTTAAAGTTTTTAACTAGCTTACATGTCTAAGAGACTCTTAATTCGCTCAGAGTCAAAGAACTTACTGAATCAAACCAATAACAAAATAAAATTGCGAAAACAAAGCAATAGGCGGATTATAGCCGTTCAAACTTACTCACGTTTAACACAAGGTGAACTTAAAATAGAAAATTGGTTAGCACACGAATACAATGTAAAAAACATATAATTTTATCCAAAAGTTTCACCGGGAAGATTCTTCCCTGGGGCCCTTCTGTAGTAAATATGGAGAACTTCATGGGCCACTGACTAAAATATGTCAAGGACAACTAAATGCTACATGAAGATTTTGGAAACATGACACAGATCTATAGTACAATGTACATAAACTCTTTGGTAAAAAAAACTTTGTAGAATACTAAGATGTAAAGAAACACAGCACCTAAAGCACTATGAAATTAATAGAAACAGTACAAAAAGGTGTACAGTAGACGGGGCCTTCGAGATAGGCACCTCTTTTTTTTCAGCAATATTTTGAACCTTCTAGCAAGAGTTCTGTTCATGTCTGATTTTGTTGCACAGCGAAATAAGGTGCCAATGTTCCCCACCCCCATCCCCCACCCCTAGGCACTCAAAGTGAGATTTGTTCTCCACTTTGCAGTGAAAAATTGTCTTCGATTTCTTTGGTAAGCCAGGGTTCCTGCATATCAGATATCTCGTCTCCTGACAAATCAAAATCTCCTTCGCAGTCGGCGTTTATTTCTCGAGCAGTTTGGCTGAACGTTTTGCTGAGGTTATCGACATCACGAGGCGGTTTTAGAACCGGAAAACGACATCCATTCGCCAAAAGCTGAGTGTGTTGTTGAAGCGTTGATGCTGTAAAGCCATTGTTTTCACTTGGAAAGACTTGCATGTGAGTGCCGCTTTTACCACAGGACTGCAACCTTACAATCCTGCCTATGTCACCATTACATACAATACCGCTGTCGTACGACTCCTCGGCCATTTCCGGGTCGTGTTCGGGACACTGGGACATGCGCAGTCCAAACATATCACTCCACCATTTTGTATTTCCTCTAAAATAACGATCTGCTTCCTCAATGGATTCATTGAGACGCTGCCAAGCGCGAACAGTTTCAGGAGATGCTTCACTTAAAGCACATTCTATTTTTTGTGATCCGCTTTGTATAAACTCCAACACGCCCTTGAGGTCGCCCAAGAGACAAAATGTATGACACCCATCAAGTAAAGAAAACTCTGGAGTGTAATGAAAACGAGTGCAGACGGTCTTTTTGTAAATCTCGTCCTTTAGACCTCGACGCCGTATCATGCTAAGCGCCAGGGTGAATATATCGCCGTATGGGTCATGCTGGCATGGTATACTGAAGCTGTTCTTTTCCTGTTGCGCTCTGGAAACTCTGTTAGCGTCCACGGAACAGACAACGATGATACTGTGGGCGCGTTCGATATTTTTAGTCAGCCATTCAATTTTTCCAATGGCGGCGATATCTTGTGTTGACCACATATCAACAGTAATGTCAAAGTTAAACATTTCTTTTAGGACGCTGGCAAAGTTAAGCACCACTGTAGTGTGCCGCGGGTGCTCATGGGAGAAAAGAACAAGAACTGTCTTTTGGCGGCTGGCGCAACTGGACGTTGTCAATTCTATAAATTCAGCAAAAAAAATCTAACTAGCTAGTTTTCTAGAGAATTTCCAATGGGAGCATCTCTTTTCAAAAAAAAATTGTAACACTTCTATAAATTACAAACTTTAGTACTTGAATTTAAAAAAGAAAATACAATCTCCGTAAATAAACTCCCCACAATGTCCCTTCATAGGTCATAAGGCCTAGTGCGAGATAGGGTATTGCAAAGCAGAACATGTATAGCACTGTATTTAATAACATGAAGTATAGACCAAGCCCTATTGATTGGAATACTCAGAAAAGTATCTATAACACCTCAGAAATACCTTTTCTGCCGAGGAATTGGAGTCCATCTTGGTCCAGTCTAACGTTCTCGTCGTAGCGGGACATTTGCATTGAAACTGGAAGAAGGAAAAGAACACCATCTTCCCCAAAATATGTGCTTTGCTAGTCTGTGGTGCTATTTAAAAACCCCACTTTATGTTCATCAGTCTGGTTCGGCTTTTTGTGACATTTTGGATAAATTTAATTACCTACTGACAAGGGCTAGTGCAATGTACAGTGTAGTAGCACCGCGGAGAGAAATCGTTAGGAAGAACTCATTTTAAGGTAAGTGGATATTTCTAGCATCTGTTGTAGACAAAAGTGTTCAGTTCCTAGCACATGTGTAAGCTAGTAAACAGGTTCAGATTATCTTTAAATGCGTTAAAGATAAAAGCTAGACTTACTAAATTTACATTTGTTTTTCCTGATCAAGCAAACAGTTGCTGCTATTATGAAAGCTAGGCTACAAACACTTCCGGTAAAAGCTGCAATCGTCACGCCTATTGGAAAAGCAGACGTGAGGGGGTCTTCTGTCGTCGTGGCCACTTGCCTGCCTGGTGGACCGATAGAGGGAGCAGTTGTTGAAGCTTCGCAGGCTGGAAGGAACATTATCTGAGATAAGTACTGTAATGTGCATGAACGGGACAGGAGCACCTGGACTTTGAACCTCTTACAGCCTCAACTTAAGTAACAAATATCACATCGTTGCAACTTGATTATACATAGCAAAATATCCACCAAAGACTGAAATCTCGCATCATTAGCAAACATAATCAATGATACATCGGTTTTCGCTGATTTTAAAGAAGAACGTAAAAAAAATTAAGAGCGCACATCCCTCAACACATTTGCACATATACTTTTTTGGTAGTCGATGGCGTGTATATCGGAATAACTATTTGGACTAATATAACAAGTCATAATGTTTCTTCTGTCGATGTAAGGTTTAGTTTACTTTTGTTGTGATTGAGGAGCCTGGTGTCCAGCTCATCTAATGCATTCATTTGCATAAATGACAAGTTTTCATTCAGGGTGGTGCCCCATGAGTTTTGCACTTTGTTTCATTCATCTCAGTGTCTCCGTAGGAGGAACACATAGTACTCTTACTTTGAGTCTGTTATTTCTACTTGAAATTTATAGTTTAAAGGAATGGCAGAAATGGTGAGTTTAATACTGTTTATTGATTATTGATGATTAGTTATTTATTATTGGTGATTATTGAAATGTATAAGTTTTTTGAGTAAGTAAATTTGAACACGTAAATAACCCTTAGTAAGTACATTGTTGTAATTTTCTTTTTCTTTTCTTCTTTTTTAGTTTTTACGTGTCTTGTGAATCCATGTGAATAAACCAAGATCCAGTGAAAAACACATGCCTTATCTTTGACTTTTATTTAACCTATGTAACCCCTGCGTGTTATATAAAGTAAAAACATTTCTCAATGATCCCACGGAAATTTCCATCATGGCGTACCACGGCAGCTTACAAGATTTCGGACTATCCCATAGACGATTCAGAACCAACAGTTTACGTTCGGCATCAGAATCCCAAAGGACAAAAGCAGCACTCGCTATTGCTAATGCTCAGTTGGAATTCGAAGAAGCGGAAACTGCACTAAGGCGTCGGTATCGTGAGCAAGAACTAAAAGATGAAATGAGAATGCTTTCCCTACGAGCCCAGGTGAGACGGCGGGAAATTGAAGCTGAAATTCAGGAAGACGCATCTTTATCGGAACACAACTTCACGATTGATCGCTACTTTAATTCCATGGAAGAAGGTAACGTTGATACTATTGATGCACATAATCTGACAAATTCCGATCATGTTTCTCATCAACATATCAGTGCGCAACAGCAACAGCAGAGTGAGCAACAGCGGTCACGCATGAATGCACATCACCCGCATTCCACGCAACAGCTTCAGCAATTAGGAGTGTCATATGAGACGGAGCCCACTCAACCGAAACCTATGTCAAGGACAAATCAACCACAGCAGTCCCCAAGGGCAGCACAGTCGTCACAACCGTCACGGCTACAGCAATCGCACAGTGTGCCATCCTATACAGATCCAGCGATGACGTTAAACCCTCAAGCAACAGAATATACACCAATGACGGCGCAGTCAACTGGTACGTNAAACAGGAGCAGTAGTCCACCTTGAATTGCCTCCAAGGGGGCATTCACAACCATTTGATCCGTGGACTAACAGATGTGGCTGGCTCACTTGAAAGCCCTCTAAAATGTTGCATAGTCCTGAAATTGAAAAGATTCCTTGCTAGAATTATGGGCTGAGCTTTTCAAAGTTTGTCGGCCATATTTGATCAGCGGGTCTGTTAGAGGCCATCCAGAATAGAAGATAAAGGATCTACTGATCAAATATGGCGGACCCCACATGAAAGAAGAGCCAACCAATCCGTTGATGGTCTTCCCGCCTCCACACGCGCAGTCCTTCCAGGGGTCTAGCAATCTTAACCCTCCGAGCTGTGATTTAATCCGTCCAATGGCGCGTGTGGAGGCAGTGAGTTCGTCAGCAGATACACTTCTTTCATGTAGGGTCTGCCATAATTGATCCGTGGATCAGTAGATCATCGGATGTTATGTTATGAATGGGTTCTGAGTCTGTAGATCGACTGGTTGTGAAAGTGGCCATGCAGCTACTGATTAATTCATTGTCAAAAATAAAGAATTCAGTTCAAGTGAAAGCTTTACGTATAAGACCAAAACAGTTTAATGTCAGTGTATCTTATAGACTTTCTCACAAAATTTGCATGAAATTTGAATCTTCTCGGAATTATTATTTTTATTACTGAATAAAATGTTAAGGTTCAGGTATCCTTATCCCACCAAATGCCAGCACAAAATCACTTCTCATTCCAAAACTGCTGCAATAACTTAAAGATCTGACACTTGAGTTATGCAACCTTCTTTGGCGGAAAGGATCCCCAAAGATACCTCCCTGAGGACTGCTTTGCATCAGCAAAATAACCCAAACCGTTTTTTACGTATTCCTTCTCATCCAAGTAGCCATCATCATCGCTGTCAAAGATGTTGAAGGATTTTGGAGCCGTCTCTGGGTCCACGCCGAAGCTTTGCAGAAAAGCAGTGTAGTCTGACAAGTCAATCAGTTGGTTCCCGTGAGAGAGGACCAGTTTAAACACTTCTTGAAACCAGGCCTCGCCGCGTTCTGGAAAGTGAGGCACGATGAGGTATCTGGACTGCATTTTTATCACATCCTCCACAGTAAGATTGTCATTCTTTTCTCGGGTGACGAAAAAAAAGTCCCAACTTGAATGCCATATGGCTTTAAAAACGGACGCTTCGTTTCTACTAAAGTATTGATCGATTCTGTTGGGAATTATACCCAGAAATTCATGTTGCGTTAGCACGCCGTCCAGGTCGTCATCTAATAAGTTGAAAAAGGAGCGCATCTTGTGGGTCCAAAATTTAGGCAAGTTGTCAATATCAGTCTGTATTAAAGAAAAAAAATTAACATGTATTTAAGTAGTTTTGTACACAATAACGAAATCGTTAACTGAAAACCGAGTATTTAAAATGGCCAAATATAGCATTGATTGCCGCAAGGGGTGAACTTTGGCGCCGTATATCTGCTGTCAGTAGGCTTGAACCACATCACAGCGAACACAAAAAGGTTTTGGAAGTGTTAACGTGTATATCTTTTTAACATCACAGTGGCGGATTTAGAGGAGTCCCTAACTGGTAACCAGTGTAATTGCTTTTAAATTGGAGTACTAGTGATATGGCAATCCCTAGGCTGTAGCATTAAAAGCCGTGCTAAACTACATGTAGTTTGATCTTGAATATACCTCATTGACAGGATAGTCTCTGTGTTGACTGCCATCTCCTTTGCCTGCGCTGAAGGTAAAGGACTGGACGGCGACAGCAGAGATTACTACCATGTAAACCACGCATGAAGACAACATCTCGCTTCACTTCCGGTGGGAATTAATGGACCTTTGAAAACACGTGCTACAGACGCTATGATTGTTTGCTATGAACACAGATATATATATATATATATATATATATATATATACTGTATACGTATTCTTTATTTGCGTGTTTATAACAGAGAGGCAATGGGAAAATGATATTCATTTTGAACAAAGATTACTTTGCAATCTATGTTATTAGGTAAAATACTGGGCGTTGACGTGACAGCGCAAACAAACACTGCTATTGTTACGCAATTGATTTCCTGTAGTTAAAATACCATGTTAAAGTTACTTTGCATTATGTTAGTTCCGAAAACCGACATGTTTTCTAAGAATTTCAGTAGTCATGCTGGTTATTTCCTATGTTTTAAAGCCATGTTATTATACTGGTAGGTAACAACATGTTCATACCGGGCTTGAACGTAGCAATGTAAAACCGAGGCTAACGTGGGGGGTTTTCTATCATTATAGAAACCTGACAAAAGTAATGGCGTATTTTTAAGAGTAGAAGTTCCCCCTCTATTTAGACAATCCTCCTCTTTTCCAGTAGAAATTACCCCCCCCCCCCGTCCCNAATAAACTACTTCATAAATTACCACAAAAGTCATCCATACTTCTTTTGCTTCGATCATTTAGGCAGTTCCTAAGTTTGGAGTGCATTTGCATCTCAATAAAAAAGGACAACTTACCAATTTTTAAGAAATGCATGCTAAATACAGTGTTTATTGTTCTGTATTCATACAGCGTATATTCAGAGGTTTATCAGCAAGAATAGAAGTGTTGTGTTGTGCATTCGTAGTTTTTCAGAGAAATCATATTGCAAAGTAGGGTATACGGCCTATGCCAAGGCCATCCAGAGAGAGGAAGCAAAACCGTTTTCTACACTGAAACAAAAATAGATTGTAAGACCATTCCCAGTTGTTCCAGCGACCAGAAGAGAAGTTTCTGCTTATAGATAAACTCGTTTAACATATGATTTTACATGGACTTTACCGAATAGATAGCCTATAGGCCTAATGTCAATTAAAATACAGATGCAAGGTTCAGTCCGGCGGTCAGTTCTCACACATCAACGGCCCCAGGGTGATGTAGACTTTCTCGCTAGCGTCACCTGTGTCACCAATTCTCAACCCGGTGATAGGAAGAACATCCTTGTCTGTCACCGGGCCGCTGTCTTCTCTCCAGACTGCGTCATTCATGTCACAGTTACACTTCTTCCCTGAAAACAACAAACCGAAATTTGTTAAATTAACAACAGCTCAGTACCATTCACGAAAAAATCTAAAATGGAGATAAACTTGAATCATACTGCTGCCATACAGCCTTGGTTTTAGCATTGTCTTAAGAAAAAAAACATCGCATTTATTATCAAATTTGTAAAAAAAAGCTCATGTAAATTGATTCCACAACTAAATACACCCCTAAAAAAATTAAATTTCATCGGTACCTCCTGCGCAGCTTTTGGTCTGGTAACATGCACAGCCACCCAACTGCGCATTCCCTCCGGGCCAGTATGACGTCACTTCCTGTCCGTTAGCTATCCAATAAGAATACGTTCCGCTGCCGTTCACTGAAGGTCTGATGACAGAACCGTGACATTCGTACTTCAGCTGTTGGTGACAGGGTCCAGATCTAGCCATCAGTGCCCGGATGTGCTGACTGCTACTGGCGTATGACACGTCATCTATACAACATAAATATGGCAATATGGCATACAGACTTTCAAAACACGGCTATATAATATATTATTATTATTCCATATAAAGAAATAAAGAAGCCTTGAACTTTGCAAAGTATTGTACATGGTTTGAACGTTGGAAACATACACATCTTTCTTTATACTTAATAAGTATCCAAAAGACTTACGACTGTATGCGCCGTAGCCTTCAAACCCGGTTACCAAGGTTCTGTTTTCCTTGTCATGATGGATGACGGCGATAGGTGGCACCAGAGTCATGTCACACCAGACCAAGAAATCCGAGACACCACGAAGACCGTCAGGGTCGATCAGATAGTTTCCACTTGTCACGAACCCGTCCCGGAACCAATCAGAACATGAACGACGTGCTAGGTTAAAAAATATTTATATATCTAAAAATATTCATACAATCACTCTTCACAGATCTTTCCATCGTTAGACTCGAAATAGAGGCTGATGAATGCCACTCGTGACTGGAAAAAGAAATCTAAAAATCGCAAGAAATTTTTTAGAGCTCATACTTTTCTCAGCAGTTTTGGTTGGCACACATCCCTAAAGAAGATAGGCCTATCTTTAGAAAAGTGATTTCCTTCGCTCCATAAAGTTCTTACAGGTACGTCCATTGGTTATAGTTTTTCACTCACCCTGCATTAGATTCCCTCCAAGCAGCTGCCGAACCTGAAACTCCAAGGCGGCAACTTTGTCTTTCAATGTCTTGACATCATCTTCAACAGAGACTGCAGTAGTGTCGTCACAGCCGTGAAGGAGGGTAAATGTCGCTACCCCAATCACCATGAAAACACTGATACCGGTCATCTCTGCGGCTGATCCTAGTACAAATTAAGGTTTTATTTTATCGTACCATAACCCTGGGTTTTGAGGCATGACATGTGTCGTATAACACGTGGTATAGATGAAAAAACGGAGGACTCGAAAAATAAGGGTAATTTACCGTCACCTTAGTTAAACATTAAGAATGTCTTGCATACACACACACACGCCTACCTTTGTAGTCAAAAACTGAACTGAAAATCCTCCGTGCTGAACTGCTGTAATATAACAGACAAGACACCGTGGCAAGGTGACCATGAACAAGACCTAAACAATTTCATGCACTATTGTGTCATTACAAAAACCGCGAAATGACATCTACCATATTTACTATATTTAATTGTATCCTGTTTGGCTAGTCTCCAAAAAGGATTTGGTTGCTGCCTGGTTCTCATCCGATATCGTTGCCATGGAAACCACCGATTGGTTGTGAATAATAATTTATTACTGGATCTCTCCACAAAATATGGCTGACCACAGTTCAGAAACGATGCCGCTGTTTCCTGATGGTCTCTCGGACTCCGCACGTGTCTGTGCAAAGATCAATTTTCTAGAAATAATGTCACGAAACTCTGTGGTATCTCTTCAAATAAAATTATTCGAAACATTATGGCGGCATTTGAATGGGTTTAGTGGCAATGGTTTGGCATAATTACTGGCTTGACATGCATATTGAACTCTTCATACACATTTCACAATCTGAAATTTTATCTGAGCTAATAACCTTGCCGCTATTTTTAAAGATTTTTGTATATATGTTGATACATTTCTAGCTTGTTCTTTTAATTTCGGTATGTTATTCGCTTTTAAGAATAATAGCCGAAACGTCGCGAGAGGTCTTACAGTGAAAACAACTAAAACCAAAATCACACGGGACAATTCTTAAAAATAAAAAAAAAACACAAAAATTTGAGAGACGTATTTATCCACAACATAATATATTGTATAAACGTGATCAGTTGTTATGTTAGATTTGCCTAATATCACACATCAGTTTACGGATATACCTGTAGCCTGTAGGAGAGACGATTCTTTCATAACAACGTAACGACTTTTGTTGACGCTTCTACCAAAAGCAGAGCAAGATTTTTTTCTTTACATTCTACAACTCTGTGGCGGCAAAAGACATCTGAATAGATCTGAACAACTTTTCAACTTTTTAAAGAATAATTTGGTCTAAATAGGCATATCTGACATAATATATTCATACATGTGAGTACTTGTGCTCAATAAGAAGTATTTTCAATTTTGGTCACGGTTAGTTAGTATGAATGAATTAGAGCCTCGGCAAATGATCAGTACTACGAACTACACAACATGCTTAATTTGACACAATTAACTACGACTTGTGCTGCCTTTGTACTCTTGATTAATAAAAACAACAGTATTTTAATTAAAACGATGTAGCTACAGGGTATCTCTACTAAAGCAAACGCTCACGGTGTCTGGTTTAGAAGTTCATCTTAAGGACAACTATTCCGTGCCAATTGCCAGTCTGGTCTAATGGCCAAAACGTCCGTTTTCTCACTTAGTGTGCTTTGCGATTTCCGTACACATTTTCATGATTTTTACCTATTCAAGCCCAGCGTTTCTATCATATAGTATCTTGACTTAACTAAAAGGACTAAGCAATGATTTGAATTCACAATACCAAATATAACACTGTCTTTACATTTTTATGGCGGCAAGTCCACAATGCACAACAGGGTGAAAGGCAGAGTTATTGACATTTTTAACTAGCTTACATGTCTAAGAGACTCTTAATTCGCTCAGAGTCAAAGAACTTACTGAATCAAACCAATAACAAAATAAAATTGCAAAAACAAAGCAATAGGCGGATTATAGTCATTCAAACTTATTCGCGTTTAACACAAGGTGAACTTAAAATAGAAAATTGGTTAGCACACGAATACAATGTAAAAAACATATAATTTTATCCAAAAGTTTCACCGGGAAGATTCTTCCCTGGGGCCCTTCTGTAGTAAATATGGAGAACTTCATGGGCCACTGACTAAAATATGTCAAGGACAACTAAATGCTACATGAAGATTTTGGAAACATGACACAGATCTATAGTACAATGTACATAAACTCTTTGGTAAAAAAAACTTTGTAGAATACTAAGATGTAAAGAAACAAAGCACCTAAAGCACTATGAAATTAATAGAAACAGTACATAAAGGTGTACAGTAGACGGGGCCTTCGAGATAGGCACCTCTTTTTTTTCAGCAATATTTTGAACCTTCTAGCAAGAGTTCTGTTCATGTCTGATTTTGTTGCACAGCGAAATAAGGTGCCAAAGTTCCCCACCCCCATCCCCCACCCCTAGGCACTCAAAGTGAGATTTGTTCTCCACTTTGCAGTGAAAAATTGTCTTCGATTTCTTTGGTAAGCCAGGGTTCCTGCATATCAGATATCTCGTCTCCTGACATATCAAAATCTCCTTCGCAGTCGGCGTTTATTTCTCGAGCAGTTTGGCTGAACGTTTTGCTGAGGTTATCGACATCACGAGGCGGTTTTAGAACCGGAAAACGACATCCATTCGCCAAAAGCTGAGTGTGTTGTTGAAGCGTTGATGCTGTAAAGCCATTGTTTTCACTTGGAAAGACTTGCATGTGAGTGCCGCTTTTACCACAGGACTGCAACCTTACAATCCTGCCTATGTCACCATTACATACAATACCGCTGTCGTACGACTCCTCGGCCATTTCCGGGTCGTGTTCGGGACACTGGGACATGCGCAGTCCAAACACATCACTCCACCATTTTGTATTTCCTCTAAAATAACGATCTGCTTCCTCAATGGATTCATTGAGACGCTGCCAAGCGCGAACAGTTTCAGGAGATGCTTCACTTAAAGCACATTCTATTTTTTGTGATCCGCTTTGTATAAACTCCAACACGCCCTTGAGGTCGTTCAAGAGACAAAAAGTATGACACCCATCAAGTAAAGAAAACTCTGGAGTGTAATGAAAACGAGTGCAGACGGTCTTTTTGTAAATCTCGTCCTTTAGACCTCGACGCCGTATCATGCTAAGCGCCAGGGTGAAGATATCGCCGTACGGGTCATGCTGGCATGGTATAGGCCTACTGAAGCTTTTCTTTTCCTGTTGCGCTCTGGAAACTCTGTTAGCGTCCTCGGAACAGACAACGATGATACTGTGGGCGCGTTCGATATTTTTAGTCAGCCATTCAATTTTTCCAATGGCGGCGATATCTTGTGTTGACCACATATCAACAGTAATGTCAAAGTTAAACATTTCTTTAAGGACTCTGGCAAAGTTTAGCACCACTGTAGTGTGCCGCGGGTGCTCATGGGAGAAAAGAACAAGAACTGTCCTTTGGCGGCTGGCGCAACTGGACGTCAATTCTGTAAATTCAGAAAAAAAATCTAACTAGCTAGTTTTCTAGAGAATTTCCAATGGGAGAATCTCTTTTCAAAAAAAAAAAATTGTAACACTTCTATAAATTACAAACTTTAGTACTTGAATTTAAAAAAGAAAATACAATCTCCGTAAATAAACTCCCCACAATGTCCCATCATAGGTCATAAGGCCTAGTGCGAGATAGGGTATTGAAAAGCAGAACATGTATAGCACTGTATTTAATAACATGAAGTATAGACCAAGCCCTATTGATTGGAATACTTAGAAAAGTATCTATAACACCTCAGAAATACCTTTTCTGCCAAGGAATTGGAGTCCATCTTGGTCCAGTCTAACGTTCTCGTCGTAGCGGGACATTTTCATTGAAACTGGAAGAAGGAAAAGAACACCATCTTCCCCAAAATATGTGCTTTGCTAGTCTGTGGTGCTATTTAAAAACCCCACTTTATGTTCATCAGTCTGGTTCGGCTTTTTGTGACATTTTAGATAAATTTAATTACCTACTGACAAGGGCTAGTGCAATGTACAATGTAGTAGCACCGCGGAGAGAAATCGTTAGGAAGAACTCATTTTAAGGTAAGTGGATATTTCTAGCATCTGTTGTAGACAAAATTGTTCAGTTCCTTGCACATGTGTAAGCTAGTAAACAGGTTCAGATAATCTTTAAATGCGTTAAAGATAAAAGCAAGACTTACTAAATTTACATTTGTTTTTCCTGATCAAGCAAACAGTTGCTGCTATTATGAAAGCGAGGCTACAAACACTTCCGGTAAAAGCTGCAATCGTCACGCCTATTGGAAAAGCAGACGTGAGGGGGTCTTCTGTCGTCGTGGCCACTTGCCTGCCTGGTGGACCGATAGGGGGAGCAGTTGTTGAAGCTTCGCAGGCTGGAAGGAACATTATCTGAGATAAGTACTGTAATGTGCATGAACGGGACAGGAGCACCTGGACTTTGAACCTCTTACAGCCTCAACTTAAGTAACAAATATCACATCGTTGCAACTTGATTATACATAGCAAAATATCCACCAAAGACTGAAATCTCGCATCATTAGCAAACATAATCAATGATACATCGGTTTTCGCTGATTTTAAAGAAGAACGTAAAAAAAATTAAGAGCGCACATCCCTCAACACATTTGCACATATACTTTTTTGGTAGTCGATGGCGTGTATATCGGAATAACTATTTGGACTAATATAACAAGTCATAATGTTTCTTCTGTCGATATCAATATACAGACAGCACAGTAAACGAACTAAGTCTAACTTGCCCTGTATCCCACCTTGAGAATAATATTTTGGAAACTACTATACTAGGCCTACAGTTTAACTATGGGCAGTGCGTTTATGAGTCTACATACATATGCGGCGTTATCTCCCTTTTTCATAACTTGAACGGAATCCTCAAGTATCTTTTGGAAACTTATGTGAAGAGGTGGCCGATTTTCCCACCGCCTGAAATGAGGCTTATACCACGATTGGCGCTTCGAACGAGAGGATAATTGCACTTGTATTTCGACAGGCTTGCCTGTATTTTCATACGCTTCGGTGCGTTCATCCTGTTGTTCAAGGCGCCAGTCATGGTATTACACCCCATTTCCATAGATTAGATCGACCTACTTTAGATCGACCTAACTCCCTGGGGGTTCACGCTAAATAGCTGTCAGCCGGGCGGACACGAAAGTTAATTACCCCCCTACAGCTTGTAGTAGGCGGGACGGACATTTAAGTCGGATTATCTGAAAGTAATCTAGTGAGACTCCCCGCGGGGATAGATCGATCTAAAATCTGTGGGAATAGAGCCTAAGTCAGTTACACCTACTCTACGTCCACTATATGCGACATAGACCCCATTCCCATAGATTTTAGATCGATCTATCCCTGTGGGGAGTCTCACTAGATTACTGTCAGCTTAGCCGGCTTTAGTGTCTGTCCCGCCTACAAAAAGCTGTAAGGGGGTAATTAACTATGGTGCGCGCTCAGCTGACTGCAGTTTAGCGTGAAGCCCCAGGGAGTTATGTCGATCTAAATCTTAATCTCTGGATCGATTTAAATCTCTGGGAATGCACTCATACAAGAGCAAATTATTTGTCGGCTGCGCCTCGATATAATTACGCTCTTGTACGTCGCATGCCCTGGACGACGAGTAGCTGTAACTAGTACAAACTGATTGAAGTAATTCCTTCTCCACTCTGTTGAATCATCAAGAATGCGTGGACTTACCTCTCTGAGTAAATTTTCTATGCGACCTTGCGCAAAGATTTCTGCAGTCTCCATTTTTAGTTTTGCAGACACATGAGCCGGGCAATTTATGGATGCTAACATCTTTTGGCTCAACCTATGGAAAAACAAAAAAAGCAGTTGAACAAAAAAATTCACAAAGAAGTCCTTGCCTTACTTAAAGCAGTATTTAAGTAAATGTGAGAGCGAGGTATACAACGTTGTATATGCAGTGAGTATGGATAGAGTTTTAGATACAGGGGCGGATCCAGATATATTTTCTGACAGTCTTCCAAATTGTCTATGTTGATCCATCCTCCGTTCTTGACCGTCTTCCGACAGAAAAAATAGATACCTGTCAATGTATAAACTTGAAAATCTGACCGTCTTCCGAAAGACCCAGAAGACGGCCTAAATCCGCCCCTGAGATATCTTATTGTACGTTGGCACAGGTACGTGTCAAATGTCAATTTTACGTCCCATTCATTCACTCCAAACACGGTGCCAGAGTTTTTTAAAGTTCTTGTGGTTTATTTTTTTTCTGAAAAACATTTAAAAATGCTGCCTTTTTATCCTTTCTAAGCACCAGACGTTCCTTTCTTCTTACCTGTAAATTAGTTAATACATGAAGTTGTGCTGCTTGTAACAATTAATGCGTTATGTCATATTGGGATTAGTGGATTTAGAATATGCTTGGATTGAGACTGGGCCTGCGACAAATACATTTAGTGCTTAATTAACTTATCATTATACTATCAATGTGTGCTGTCTTACCACGAGTGTGAACTCCCCAGCTCCAACATTCTCGAACATTGTGCTGTTGTTGGGCTAGCAGTGAAAAAGAAATACTATTACTTGATTGATTGATTGATTGGTTAATTGATTAATGTTGAAACTCGGTACTGCTTTCAGGGTAGCAGGGAGGAGTTACAACTTAAGTCAGGTCAGATGGTATTAATTAAAAGTATGACAAAAACGTGAACCATCATTGCTTCAAAAATGCACAAATAAATTAATACCTTACTGTAATGAAAAATCAGGTTATCATACATTAAATTGATTGTTTGATCGATTAATTGATCCTATAAAAATTAATCAATTCTGAGATCGTTTTAGTGATCAGGAGATTTGTCAGCTACTTACTTATGTAGTCGTCAGATAGGTTTAGTTCGAGAGGTTATACAAACACGGGGCACTTATGACCGTGGAAGTTTGCTTTACTGTCAGAAAAACTAACTACTGTGTAAGGTTAAATGGTGTGCAAATTACCTGTGTAAAAAACAAGGTTAGTTATCAGATACAGGTACTCACTGTGAAAACGGTCATTTCTTCCAAGGGCCTATTGGTGGTATTCCACAGTGTGACGGTATATTTCGAAAAATTAAATTCTTCAGGAGCCAATTGGAAACTGACCAGCACCTGTTCCTTGCATTGCAGAGTCCGAATGGAAATCTCCGTGGTCCAGTCAGCTGGGGCAGTGGTCGCTACATAAATTTATATGACAGTTTAAAATAAAGAGGGTACAGACTAAGAGAGTACGAATTAAGGGCGTTTTCAAAGATCATATAAACTAACTACTGTATTAAAGGGCTCAAATCAAATAAACAGAAGATAAATCTTGAAACAGCATTTAATTTAAACTACACTGTCCAGGTGCCGATTCTTTATGCGCCTCGCTGGCGGGTTTTCGTGTAGTCAAAACACACGCCATGCAGTGCTGGCAAGCATGATACAATGGCCCGCACATGTAGTTCAAAGATTATGATAAAAAAAACATACCCGAGGGCGTGGAGGAGGTCAGTTGCATGTGTTTCATTTCGCAATTATACGGTTCTGTAGTACGACGTGGTAGACTGCATACATCTATGATCACTGTGTTACCAAAGGGCGCCATGCCATGTGTAATTCTCACTGTGTGTTGAAAGACAATCTGGAAAAATAAGCAAATTTTGACGATTTGCTTATATAACAGGTCTTATAAAGCCCATATGATTTTTTTTAGATCTTATTTTAAGACAAAGGTCGGTTTTGAAACCCCTTTTCGGTCCCCTAACTCCCTTTTAACTTCCCTTTTAATGCTATAAGCTACCTGCGATGAAGGTGTTCACGTATAGAGCAAAGTGCTCATTTTTATTTCTTGCATGCTCCAACTATGCATTCCTTAAATTACTATTACTATCAATACAGTTGGTTACATCATAAACGCCATCGCCATCACCGCATTCTTAATAATAATCCTCCCCTGAACACCTGGTGTTAATTTGCTGCTTTGGCTATCCTGATTAGTTTTACCTTGGTTGTGTCTTTAGTCCAGACGGCTGTGGTCAGATTGAAGTATGCACAGTACACCCCGCCTATATCCACATAGAACCCATTCAACCCGTGAACTGAAGCTGAATGTAAAACACAAGTGAGTGTCTGTTTAATTCAATACATTCAAATGTCTATACGTCTATACGTTTGGACCTCAGCGGTATATAATTGATGATAGTATACGTGTTTCAATTACGTATGTGCAATCGATTTCATGTATCTAAGGTAAATACAACTGCATATTTAAAACATTCACATTGAAAACATTTATACGTTACCAACCACCAACGCCACCTCCTCAAAGAAAAAGAAAAGAACACACACAAATTACACCTGAGTTACTGTATATGTTTTAAATTTGCTTTAATCAAAAATAAAGTCTGCATATTCTATATTCGCTACTTTTCATGGCATACTGTATGTCATATGTATTAAACATATATATATATGTACTCACCATCATCCGGGACCTTCCAGGTTATGCTGACGTCAGAGTCTGTACCGGTCCACGTCGCATCCATATCTCTGGGAGGCCCGGGGTTCAGGATGCTCACGTGTTCACGGTTATCCCAGATAAATAGGCAGGAAACTGGAAAAAATCAAGTGACTTGTTTATGGTGAATTAATGGGGACACGAACTCATATCATTATACCCACTAGTAGTAGCAGTATATAAGTAGTTGTAGTTGTAGCAGTAGTAGTACTTAAAGTTGTACATGTAGTAGTAGTTGTAGTAGAAGTAATGGTAGTAGCAGTAGTAGTAGTAGTAGCAGTATATAAGTAGTTGTAGTTGTAGCAGTAGTAGTACTTAAAGTTGTACATGTAGTAGTAGTTGTAGTAGAAGTAATGGTAGTAGTAGTAGTAGTAGTAGTAGTAGTAGTAGTATAAAATAACAAATTTTGTCCTTCGGGCACCGATGCTATAGTTCCATGCATGCGACGGATACGTCCATTTTTCCCCAGCGTTACTTTTCATTCTAATAAAATTGCACCACCAGTTCGACGTTCGCTTGCGTAAAGTTGCTTTTATACCGCGATGTAACTGTGATATGTGATGCATATACGATATTACTACAATATGTGGTAGGCCACCGTCTGCCTTCACACGGACGCTGCCGTCTGCCTTCACACGGAAGCTGCACGATAAAGGACACGAAATACTGGCACGAACGATGGTTACATTGGGAATAAGCCCTTAAACTACATTGCATTTGTACCTAGTACGATTTTAGTATTGATACCACCTATGAGCGATACACAATACTGGTAGTCCATTAATTCTAATGACTGAATTACCATTTTTGTTAGTTTGTTTTAGATAGATGTAACCACTTTGAAAATGATTCACAGTTGTGATGAAATAATGGATGACACATCGGTCCTGGTCTATGTACGGCATAGCTTTCCCATTGCTACACAATATTACAGCTAGAGGAACCAGATTTATTGCAATCAGATTGATCTTTCTCTTATTCATTATTTCATCAACATCTGAATATCACAGACAAAAGACCCTTTTAATCCACTGAGTGCGAATAAGCTGCATTCGAAATTGGAAGAAACAGAAATGGTTATTCCGGTTTATGTTACCGGTTATCGATCTTATCAATAAACAATCCGTGAAGCATTGATGACTAAAGGTTCCCCCCATTCGGTGGCATATAATTAAGTCACACTATAGTTGAATGAAACGCACTACGCCTTATAAGAGAGGTGAACACTGCATGCTTTTGTATCGATCAGATATACAAACACGGCACTTGAGGACAAATAGTTCATATTTTACGGAATGAGTATTTTCTGATTCAAACTGAGATTAAAAATTAACGCGGAGCTACGATTCAGAATGAGTTAATCACGACTATTACTACGTGCAGGTCACATCACAGTGCAGGCGCCAATATTTACATATACAGTATCAGTGTGAATAAGGACGGATTATACACGACGACAACAATAGGTCCTTGAGAGAGAGAGAGAGAGAGAGAGAGAGAGACGTAGTGCAACATACCTTTGTTTGCAGTACAAAATGGTCGAGTGATGTTCTGAAATATAAAACAACAGTGTCTTCGAATATACCACCCAATTACAATACAATTGCTTGATGTATATTTTACGAACACAATTACTCATCGTTTCACATCCCTGAATACAACTGTAATACTTCTGAGAGAGAGAGAGAGAGAGAGAGAAAGAGAGAGAGGGGGAAGGGTTAGGGTTGTTAGACAGCAAGGGGAGAGAGAGCGATAATTTACTTACCAATTCTGATTGGTAGCACGACGCAGCCCCCGTCAAATCCAACTGAGCCAACGCCAACAGAGCCGTGCAGATCAAGGTGGATTTTAAAGCCATGTTTGATTTCACAGGTTTAGCTGGCGGTTTGTGACCTTCTCTTCCAAGAAGTTCTTTCACGATTCTTAAAAAGCAAATAAAAGTCATAAAGATAAGCCTATCAGGGTCAGATATATTATAACCGTTCTGATCACTAGGGCACAACTACATGTAACACCAATGTGTGTACAAACATAACGTCCAGTATTACGAACAAAATAGATCTAATAACACAAGCCAGTTTTTCTGGGATTTAACAAAATTCATTGACTTCTCCCCTACTTTCATATACTGATATCTTCCTATTTATTTCACCTGTTTACCTGTTTATTTGTTTGTCTGTTTATTTGATTGTTTGTTTGGAAAATCTGTTACTGGCGTAAATTAGGTTTTAATTTATAGAAAATGTGTAGTGACAAAATTCTGCGAGGAAATTGAATTATCAAAAAAAATATTGTCACACAATTGTTTTGTCAAAGCGTCCTCTGTCCTGTGGGAAGCGTATTTGCTGGGGTACAGATCGTCCTGGCTGTCATTACCGTACGTACATGTATGTAAGTTCAGGATATATTTCAGTGTACAGAATGTTACGGAGTTCATACGACTTTTATAACCCCTCTTAAGAGCCGTCCCTGCATTAAGCAGGTCACAAAAAAGTAGCTTAATATATAATACGATATAACACTGATTCAATCCGATGAAATTACAATTCATAACGACCTAAATCCTACGCACTTTAGCAGACACACCGTTACAATTGGATACGTACAAAAAAAAAACGCGTAGGAGTAACATACCTGTAAAACTATATATCGTATTACGAATTTAAATGAGTGCATATCTAAAACCTACGCATTTTAGCAGACACATCTTTACAGCTGGATACGAACAAAAAAAAAAAAAAAAAAAAAAAAAAAAAAAAAAAAAAAAAAAAAAAAAAAAAAAAAAAAAAAAAAAAAAAAAAAAAAAA